ATAAATAGCATTTTCATAATGGATTAATCTATGTTCCGTTTGGTCCTAATGGATGACAATTTTATATATATTTATATAATATTTAATTTACAATTTAATGATACATAAAATTTTATTATTAAATAACATCTTTTAAAATGAATAAAATATTTTTTTTCATTAATTAAAATAATACTTAAATCTGTTTACAGTTTCATTTGTTTCAGTTTAATAGTTTCAAAAAAGTGAATAAGACTACAATTAAAGAGATATTACAGTACATAAAAAGTTAATGGATATATAAAAACAACATTTTTACTATTATTATTATTCATATATAATTTTCAAAGTTTATAGACATTTTATCAAAACCTATTTTCTCGTATAAAATAATTTCAATACAATTTTGTTAATTATATACAAATTAACAATTTTATTTTTTCATACACATATAAAATTACAGAAAAAAATATTACTATAAATGCAGTTATTTTTAGGTCAAAGTTTATTTAAAGAATAATATGATTTCAAATGATATAAATTCTCAATAATTAGGTATTGAAATAATTCAAACAGAAATAGTTTTTTATATGCAATGTTGCATAAATAAAAATTTACGTTAATATGAGGTCAGTCCAGCACTGGTAGGTATATCGTGGACTGTTATGATTGATGGCTAATCATATGTGTCATCAATCGATTTCTTTACGCTATTTATAAAATACTATTAAAGAATTTGTGTCACAACTAGTATTTTATGTCTGACTTGCTGTACATAGTATTGAATAATATATATATATTGATATTGTATATAATCTATACAAAATAGTTTGATAATACTCAACATATCTTTATGTTATATCATATCATAGAGTATAAAATGTATCATAAATTATACCATATAATATCATATATATATATAGAAAAATATTTAATTTTACGCAAAATTTTCCAAAAACTATATAATTTCTGCAAAATAAAATATTTTTGCGACACAAAAAAAGTTTGCGATCAAAACACAAACATATATTTATATAAATATATATAAACAACAAATTGATCGCTACTCTAATTGATCTCTTTTAGTCTATCTATTGATTTTTTGCATATAATATCAAGATCTCTAAAAACAATTTTTATGCTCTTAACTAATTACAATTTTGAAACATCAAAAAATTATCAAATTATAATTTTTTAACATTTATAAACAGTATATAACTGTCATTTATAATATTGTAAAAATAATCAATTATTTGTGTCTATCATTTATTTTGTTTGATGACAATCTAAAAAACTCTATGACTGTACCAAACAGTTCAAAACATCAATGATTTTTGGGTGAAAATCTTTTAGCGTAACATAACTTTCCGATCCAAAGACAAATACAATAAGCATTAGTGAGAGTTTGTTAGGATTTAGTTGTGATTTATATATTAAAACGTTAAACAATTTTCTTTTTTTCGACTCTCTATAACTTATATTAAGTACAATATATTTTTTTTGCTTATATAACATTATTACAATATACTGGATATATATATATTTATCTTAAACTTATAATAGCATACTATTACAAAGCGTTATAAAATACTGTATATACGTTTTTTATATATCTAATGGCTTATAAATTTGAAAATCTGTTTCTAAATATTTAAACTACAGTGCATTTTCCAAATTAAAAATATTATTTATTTTATTATAATTTCATTTTCTATAATATATAAATACAATGCTATAACGACACACAGATGCAGTTTTTTTGTTGGTTATATTAGGTTTCAAACTAAATAGAAAAAAACAGAAAATCTATTGAATTTATTTTTGTAACTGATTTCTTGAGTAACAAAATATTATTTAATAAAAAAAACTATATTTTTGTATATAATTTATATGTATATTTATATTTGATATATAAATTTTTGTACGTATTGTGTGCACAAAATTTATTTAATATATGAATTGAAATATACTGTATTTGCAAATAAATAACATTTGTATACAAAATAGACACTAAAAATGGACTATAAATATGATATAAGATTAGTCATTAAAAGTGACTTTTTATGTCAAATTTTGGTCAAATTTATTGAATATTTTTATTAAAGAATGCAATCATATTATGATAATTTGATTATTAATTTTTTATATTATATTTTATATATATTATTATTATTATATAAGATATTGAAAGAATATTTATTGGTAGCAGAAAAACATAATTAATATTTTTGACATTAATATATTGACAAAATATACATTTTATGCGATGTAAATATCTAAATATAAATGTGTGGGAAAATGCAAATGTGATCATCTATTTTGACTGAAACATTATGTCTCTCCTCTCATAAATAACTTATAACTACTAATCCAAGTGTTTTAGATGTCTAAATGGATTTTTATCTTAAATGTTGAAAATATTAAGACAATGAACTTGTTTTTTGCAGTTTTTATTGATATAATTTGTCCGTAAAAAACTACAGACAATTTATTTATTGCTTTTATCACATTATATAACATACATGAGTTTGTTTTCAATTATATTAGTTTCTTATTTTTTTGTTATATAAGTTACATAATTATCTATAGTTTTTTGGGTATTTTGTCGTTTAATATTTGATACAAAACTATGAAAACATAGGACTTGTATTATCACTGTCACTGTCACTATCGGTGGAAATGGTAAATCTAATACAACAGATGCATGATATCAATTGGTATGATATGAACACTGAAATGACCTATTTTTCTGAACAGAAACCCTACGATATTTACTATTATATTATATAATTTATATATCAATATTTGTGATATTTTTGTACAATTTTTTATATTAATATACTGTATATATAACAGAACGTATTGTGCTTTTGTTGTTAAATATTTATAAACATTTCATATTTTTAGTATATTGTTATATTAATTCATTTATAAACTATTACATAATAATGATTTAATAAAATAATTTAATATGTTTTTCAAATATAATCAGAAATATAATTCAACTTAATTATAGGTATTAAAGCATTGAAAATATAATTTTATAATTTGATATATATTAAGAAAATATTTTATAATTAGGATTAAGTATTCATTGGGTTTTCTTGAAAAACATATGCCTTTTGTTTAAAAGAAAATATCAGTCATTAATCTTTTTTATACTTTCTTTCTCTTTCTTATTGAAATAACTCTATAAATATATTGTAATTTATTTTGAAACCCAAACTCATGGGGAATGAGTGAGTGAGTGAGTGAGTGAGTGAGTGAGTGAGTGAGTGAGTGAGTGAGTGAGTGAGTGAGTGAGTGAGTGAGTGAGTGAGTGAGAGAGAGAGAGAGAGAGAGAGAATATGGATTGTGCACTCAATTACTACATTATAGTTAAGATATTAGTTATGTATCTTCAAAATATATTCATTAGTAAAAAAAGTTAAGAATAACATAATTATAATAATACAATTCAATACAATAATATTTTTAGTTTTTAGTTTTATCTCACATTTTTTTTAATAAAAAATAAAAACTTTTATTTGTATTTATCACAAAAAAATCTTTTATATTAAAATCTAATTTAATATTATGTGATATACTATGTAATATTTTAACATCGTTTAAATAATCTGTAATATTATGTATTAATGTAAAAATATTGCTATATTTAAGTACAGTAGATAATATCTACTATCTACTAGATATAACATGAGTGTAATGCAAATAAAAATACATATCGTAAGCTTAAATTGTAATTTCCGGTTATATGTTAACAAAACATTTATATAATTTATATGATATGCATATAAAATATTCTTTATGTGTTTATTCACAAATATGCTAAACTATTGCTATAATATCAAATAAATATGTAAAAAATATTACATAAATGTAAATAGATGTCTAATTATTTTTTAGTTTAAATCTTTTCGATATATATATTTAGAAATTTAGATAACATTAATTTGAATTTGTTTTATCGCAAGTTAAAGATATACAGTAAATATTTACATTTGATATCTATTGAAATATATGTTAAATATATAGTCTAATTTTAGATTATATTTTAAAGTTTTAAATTAACTGTACTAGTTAATTTAAAATTCTAATTATAACAAAAAATTTCATTAATGAAAAAGGATTTTTTTTTTTGAAACAAACTTTTGTGAAACAGTTATGAGTTTAAAGAGTAATTAGATTGTTATTTAACACTCCGTTAAGTTATCGTAAAAATAGTAATAACAATAATAATACTGTAAGTAAAATGTATTTAAATTCAACTCAAATGAGTTATTATTATTATTATTATTATTATTATTATTATTATTACTGAAGTATATGTTTATGAAAACAGTATCTATGTTTTTAGAAAAAAACAAAGTCAAATGTAACCACAATTAAAGTCATTGTTATTGTTTGTATATAATGTCTATATTGTATTAGTAATTACATTTTATAACATTTAAAATAACTTTTTAAAAATAACAAAATATTTTTTGTCAACAAAAGTAAAACTTTGTTTTACTTTTTAATAGTAGGAAAAAGGGTTGCATTTTTTATTTATCTTTGTACGATGAGGACAGGGATGCAATAAAAAAGGAAATTAAAGTCAAAGTGTAGTTGCAAAAGATAATTAACTTTTTTAATACCTACTCTCTCTCTCTTTGTGTGTATAAAATAAAATGGCATTTGTGTGCAGCATATCAAGTATATTGACTTTTATTTTATTGTCAATAAAATATACTTTTTGCACAAAAGTATATATAAATATTTAAAGTATATTTTATACCGTATATTATATACGGTATATCACAATATATTAATACTAGGTTTGCATTGCGTTTTTAGTGTGTGTATGTGTGTGTGTTTTAAAATTATTATTTTAAATAATAATAGTAAATTAACTAATCTTTAAAAATTAAATACAATGAGAATACAAAAATTAACTTTCTAATGCTTTTTAATGCAATTATAATTTAATGTATTTTAAAAATATATAATTAATATTTTATAACTAATAATACAATACAAACCATTATATTGGGCGGTAATATAGAGAATCGATACGATGACAATTATAAATATGTTATAAATAGTATAATAATAATAGACACAACATTTGCAACACATTTTTTTATATATTTATTATTATTTATAATCTATTTGGTCTATTGTAAAAATTTAAAAATATTTATTTATATTTATCAGTTTTGTTTGATTGAAAATTTTGTAAAATACATTTTTGGTGATAAATTTTACACTACAAACAACATAATATTTTGTTTGTTATACACACATATATATGTATATATATATACATATAATATATATTCACATTTAGAAAGTGATGAATGAATTTGAAGACAAAAACAGTTTTAATACAATTTTTAAAGTAAACGGTTTTTCAGAGCGCTTAACATACAGTTCCCTCACATAAATAGCACGAGTGCTGAAGTCAGAGTCCCATTACTCTTCACTTTTCTCTGTCCTCTCTGACTCTAATCCAGACAACTACTGGTGTTTCACAAACTATACATTTATATATATGTGAGAAGATGTTTGAATCATGAATTTTTGCACCAAAAAGCCATATGACACACACACACAACACATTTAATAGAAAGTATTACTAAACAGAGTGCACACACATTGAGAGCACCGTTAGCTGTGAGACCATAACATTGTGTGTTTGTTTGTAAGGATGAATGGGATTCATGAGTAACGATAGACTCAGCAAATACTATAACTGTACTGTACTGTCGAGTGCGCTGACTCTCTCATGATGTGTGTGTATATGAGTGAGTGAGTGAGTGAGTGAGTGAGTGAGTGAGTGTGTGTGAGAGAGAGAGAGAGAGAGAGGAGTGAGTGTGTGTGTGTGTGTGTGTGTGTGAGAGAGAGAGAGAGAGAGAGCTCTCTCTCTCTCTCTCTCTCTCTCTCTCTCTCTCTCTTTGCCCGATAAACATAGTATACTAGTGCTGAGTCTAGCATACTCTGTAAAAATCTGTTCTTATGGTAAACCCATATCCAACAGTCCTATTCTGTAATGAAAAACCTTTTAGAAGAGAGCACTAGTGGTTATCTATCTATCCATCAATTTGTATGCAACGGTTAGATCATCGGTAGACATGAAAACAACATCCAAAATAAAGTTATCGTAAAAACATTTTTGACATATATTTGACATAAAGTTATAAATTTTAAAAAACAATAGCTTATTTTAAAAAATAATTATTAAATATTTGATTAACTCTAAGATAGAAAATTTTAAAATGCCATTAAATATACTGTATTTTTAATAAACTTAATTATAGATATAAATCTTTATGAATATTAATGATAATTCATTATAATTAAAATATTTTAGACAAACATTTTTATTAAACATATTTTATAAAAAAATACTAATAAAAATTTAAGTATAATAAAAATTATTTAAAAAAGTTTGATTTTTCAAATTAAAATTTAAAAAATATTTTTAAGTTATTATTTAGCTCATGTCTAACATCGCTTATTATATTTAGATTTACAATATATCTTAGTATATAATATATTATAATCTAAAGAGAGCATAATGTTGATCTCAGTCCCTATAGATATATTGATAGTATTCAGTATTATATTTATGTAATGGACATGAAATCTGCCGGCGCTTTCAAATTGCCGTCAAAGAGCATCTGGAAGTGTGTATCAAATAAAATTTATTTTTATCGCAAAACAATTTTTATATAAGCATATATATATACTATCAAATAAATTATATCACAAATAAATAACTATAATTTTGATGCCACAATAACATAACAACAAGAAAATATGTGGAAATAAACTAACGGTATATAAAATATTGCCTTTAAGTATAAAATTGTTGTCAATTGCTTGAGTCTATTGAAGCAATAAAAAAATTGTTAATATATTTGATTTATCAAAAGTTTTTATATATTGGATATTTTTAACAATTTAATAAAGTGTTTTTGTTATATATATATATATATATATATAGCAATATATCGTAGAAAAATATTTTACAATATATGATATATTTAAGTAAGCAAAAACATTGAGTAACATTTGTAGTAATAAATTATTTTGTATTTTTTTTAAAAAAAGATCCAATTTTTATATACAAATGCTTACAATGCAATTTTGTTGTAGTAATTATAATGATATAAATTATGTACAAATAATATACAGTTGTATATAACGAAGAGGAGTAAACTCAAGGGACAGTCTGTTTTAAGTCAATTACTAATTAGTTATATTTAGACAAAATTTGTGCAAAAATTAAAACCATTTATCAAACGCCTTATTAGGTTTGTCTAAACAGTAGATCAATTCAAACAGTTTTTACAATTATTACAGTTATATAGAATTATATATATATATATATATATATATAATTCTCACATAATTTTATTGATACATTTTGTGAATATATAAATAAATACATGAAATTACTAATCATAATACTATAGTATGTCTATATATAAAGATTATACAATATATATATAAAAACTTAAAAGCTCACCGAAAAAGGTCAAACACCTTATAATTGGTATAAAATAGTATTATTTGTTTAATATCTAAAAAAATGTATAAATAGATAATTAATTTTCTCTATTCATAAAAAATAAAGTTTAATAAAATATATAATTTTCTTAATTTTCTTATTTAACTTTTTAAAAATTTAATATTATATGATATGCACTATTTAATAATTATTTATTTAAACAATATATACTGTTCAGCATATATGCTTGTGTGTAACTAAACCTATATATATATAAATAATAATAATAATAATAATTTGAAGTTGTATTTATTAGAAAAATATTTATATCTGTATATTAATATAAATTTATAGTACTTTATATACAACATATATTTTAATTAAAAAATATTTACAAATTTAATCAAAAAGATGTTTAAAAGTTTTATTGTTTCGGTATATTTCATCGGATCTATCAAATCATCACTGAATTTGATGACTACAATGTCCGACATTTGAATATAACGTTTAATGAAATATATGGTCAAGCATTTGACTTTGAATATAATTTGATTAATTTTTTTTATTAAATATTAATACAATTATTTACATATTATAATGTTAATTTTATTTATTTTATTATTTTATTAGTGCATTTAAACTTATGTATCCTATATTACAAATTTCTATTATTAAATCAGAAAATAATTAACTTTTTAATTTAAAAGTTAGTTTACAATTAAATAATTAATTATATAAAATAAAATTTATTTACTATATTATGTTTGTTGTTTAAATAAAATTAATTTAACTTTAATTGCTTTATCACTAATATTATGTGTACATTTATACACATTATGTATAACTTTACATTATATATAGTAAATAACACACAATAACTAAATCACAAAACACTATTCAAACTCAAGCGAACCACTCATACATTTAAAGCTCACTCCTGTATCTTAAACATTATATTATCTACTTTTAAATTTTAATGTAATTTTTATATATTAAATGTTATTAAACAAAATATTAATAATTTCTGTCACAATTCAAATTACAACAATAACAGTAGTTATAATTTAAATCAAAATTGACACACATTACAGTAAAAATGCATTATAATCAATATTTAGTTATGCAATTCATAGTTAAAATTGTCTGTTAATTTTTTTATATGTAATAGTTTTGTTTTTAATATAATTCAATAAAAAATGTTTAAAAGTATAATACACAATATTTATCCATTAATTTATTAAAATATCTTTTTAGTTAAGTAAATAAAAAATTAAGACAGATAAACAAAATTAAAATTATATAATTTATATAATTTTAGACATATATCGTATATAAAAGTATATATTTTTGACATATTTGGTATATTTTAACAAATATCTTTAAAAGTATATATATAAAGTATATATATATATATATATAATCTTATATTTTTTAATTGATAATTGTAGATTAATTATGTACTATAGTCGTAGATCATGGAAATTAAAGATAATCATAATTGTGATTTTAATGTTATTAATACCATTATTATTATTAAAACTTTTTAATAATGAAAATCAATTAAAATATATAGAAACAGAAATATTGAAACAATTGGATTATTATGTGTTAATGGATAACAAAACATTTGGTTACAAACAACTAATTGTACCAAATATTGTTCACTACGTGTTGTTCACAATCCATGAGATAGAGTTCGCGCACTTTATATCCATATTATCAGTACTGAAGAATCAAAGACCAGAAATCATTTACATTCACTGCGATTGTCATCAAATCAGTGGTCAATACTTCCAACGGGTTCTCAAAGTGGCCGATAAAGTCAACACTAAAGTTATTGTCAGATATGTAGACAAACCGACAGAAATATTTGGTAAAAAATTAAAGGATAATTGGATTAATTGGTATATTATGCCAATTAAGGTATTGATAGAGTTTGGGGGCATTTATTTAGATAATGATATATATGTCGTAAAATCATTGGATGTGTTTCGCAAAAATAAAATAACCCTTTATTGGGATACATATATGCATTTGGATAATCAGTTAATAATAGCACATAAAAAGACAGCATTTTTGAAAGTAATGCTAAATTTATTTTATTATTACGACAATACTGTTTGGTATTTTATTAGAGAGTTTGTTACTAAAGATTATCTCATGAAAAGACCCGAATTAGTTGTATCGATGGCTAAATTTGGTTTCAATGGGACCACTGTTTGTCATAAACTTTACCAAATGTATTACAAAGACTGGAAAACTGAGTTTTATGCCATTCATATGCTATTGAAAGGCAATAAGATATCGACATATAATAAGTTTTATTGTTTCGGTGTATTTCATTGGATCTATCAAACCATCACTGAGTTTGATGAACACAGTGTCAGACAATTGAATATAACGTTTAGTGAAATGTGTGGTCAAGTATTTGACTTTGAATACAATTTGATTCATTGATTTTTTTAATTTAATATTAATATATTATAAACAAAATTGTATTTTTAAATTGTATTTTAGATTCTTATAAGAAACTATAGTTATTATAAAAATTATATAAAAATTAATTTATTTTAGTATATTAAAAATTTGTAGTTTATTAGATCAAAAAATAATTACGCTTTCAATTTTATATTATAATTTTTATTTATTTAATATTTAAAATTACATTTTTGTTAAATTTGCTGTTTAAATAAAATAAAATAAATTTATGTAAAACTTTTTGATTGCATTTACAGTATTTTTCACAGTATTTCTACATATCAGAGATTGTCAGGATATGGTTCCTATGTATTTTGTATATAAATGTAATAAAGGCGTAACTAACAGTATAATAAATGTAATAATAAGCCTTTCTACAAATACAATGTCAAAAACACAAATAAATGAAATAACATTAAAAATAAATATAAGTACAGCAGTGGAATAACAAAGTGGACAAAACCAATCAAAATATTATAATATAAAATAGATATAAAAAATAATAAGACAAATATAAAAAATAATTAAAATAAAATATCAGAAAGAATTAAATAATTTTATTATTAAATATTTAATTAAAACTATATGAACAGATGGTATTAAATTATAAACAAAATGATAAAAAATTAACTAAAACTGATATATAATATAACATTCTATAATAATTATATATTTATAATAGTTTTAATAAATTAATAAACAAAAAAATAATAAATATAAATAGACTATAAAAATTTAAAAATATTAAAATGAAATATTAATTAGTTTTAATTAAATATTTAATAATAAAATTAATTAATTAATTCTGATATTTTATTTTAATTATTTTTTATATCTATTTTATATTATAATATTTTGATTGGTTTTGTCCACTTTGTTTTTCCACTACTGTATTATTTCATTTATTTGTGTTTTTGACATTGTATTTGTAGAAAGGCTTATTATTACATTTATTATACTGTTAGTTACGCCTTTATTACATTTATATACAAAATACATGGGAATCATAGCCTGACAATCTCTGTTACATATTATAATAATTCCAATAATTGCAGACATTATTGATGTTTATAAACACAAAAACAAAACAGTATTTGTGTTGACATACAGTAAGTGTTGGCAAAAACATTGCGTCAGTGAATCTCATGAGTGGTCAACACTATTACCGCATCAATTGATCCCAATTGTCGGTGAATCTACTCTTCACCGTCACATCCGATTCAATAACGGATTCAATCGGACGCGCAATACGTATACTTCGGATTATTAACCAATCATTTGTTAGTAAATCAAGATTAATGCCGAAGTTTTACGCCGTCCGACGCGGACGACAACCCGGTATATACATGTCGTGGTATGTCTTAAATGTCTACTTCTTTGACTATATATTAAAATTATTATTACATTTAGTGATCATTTTTTTTATTGATGTCCAACATAGGGATGAATGTAAGACTCAGACCACTGGTTACGCGGGAACTCAGTTCAAGAGTTTCAAGACACGCGAAGAAGCGGAACAATTCATGAATAGTAGTATAAGTGAAATCAGAAAACCATATGTCGTGTCAAATAGGATTCAGCGAAGTGGAGACCAAAGTGGAGACCAAAGTGGTGATAGTAATGACTCTTCAGATAGACTTTGCATTTATACAGACGGTTCGTGTCATGGAAATGGTTTTCGTGGCGCAAAAGCCGGCATTGGTGTCCACTTTCCCAATAATTCCGAATGGGATATAAGCGAGAAATTGACGGGTCGTCCGACCAACAATAGGGCTGAGATTATGGCGGCCACTCGTGCCTTACAAGTGGCCAAACAGAAAGGGTTTACGAAAGTTGAAATAAAAACGGACAGTCAGTTCATGATATCATCGATCACTGAGTGGTGTCCCGCATGGCGTAGAAGAGGATGGAAAAAGAGTGACGGATCTGATGTAATCAATAAACAGGACTTTATTAAACTGGAAGCAGAAGCACAAGGAATGGACATTAAATGGGTTAAAGTGAAAGCACATCGCGGAGAGACAGGCAATGAAATGGCCGACCAGTTAGCTAACAAAGGCAGTCGTCGTATGAACTCAAATGTGCCGATTGTTATGACACACAAAAAACTTAAGAAAGACAATAATATCAATAATAATAGTAAAGATGATAATATCAACCATAATAGTGATAGCGATTGTTTTGCTGATGAAACTGACTTTAATCACTTACTACAAGATTTTGAGTTAAAAAACACTAAATGAATGGTTAATACATTTTATATGTATATATCGGTAGTTTATTTATGATATATTTATTAAATTTTAATGTTATTTGTAAATTGAATTATTGTTACTTTAATTATGTTTCAAATGTTGTAAATATTAATAAGTCATTAAGATCTACAAAATAACACCTAATAAATAAGTTTATTAATTGCTTTATTGATACAATATTATAAATGTATTGATACAAATTTTATAGTTAAACCAGTTAAGAATGCTAGAAAGCATTATCAGAAAAAAACTTTGACGGCATAATATATTATGTTCGCAAATTAATTGTCAGTTGGTTTTAGTCATATTGTCAAAAGACTCGATATGACAAAATAAACTTTAGTTAGACTGAACTTTAGTCATGTAAGGTATCAAATGACTCGGTATGACATAAACTTAACTATAGTCACGTGGAAGATCAAATGATTCAGTATGACAAAATAAACAACTACTTATGTGTGGTATCAAATGATTAAGTATAACAAAATAAACAGCTAAAATTATACTTTTGCCACCATTTTTGGAAAAATTGTTTGATCTATTATATTTTTTTGATGCTCTATACAATTCTAATCGTTAAAATTTACCTAAAATTTTTAATACTTTTGCCGCTATTTTATCTATGTTCCCGAAAAGATATCAAAATTTTAATGCAACTTTTCAATACATTGTTAGTAGTCCTCTAACCGAATCTGAAGTCAGAATTACAAAATTCACAAAATGTAATGCTACAGACGGACAGACACACACAAAAGACTCGTATAGATTTCAGTAAACAAAACTTTTTCAAAGTTTTTTTTGAATATCTAAATTTTATTAATTTTCTATTAAATTTATTAGTAGTTTTATAATATAATACATAATTAAACCAAATCAAAATATTTTTTATACTGATATTTTCAAATTAAGCATGATAAATTTGTTAATAAGTTGAATAAAAGTTACACTGTCTTATTCAATGGTAAAAATTAATTTGTTAATCAAAAATTATAAAAGTAGTTATAGTTTATAACTTATAAAACAATGTTGTGGTTGACTACAAATTTTGGTTAACCTCTTTATGATGTGTTTAATATATTTATTTATGTATTCAAATTGTTGGCATCAGATAACAAGTAATCCAACACCATTATATATATATATATATATATATATATATATATCATGTTATAAATCGTTATTAATATCATTTATGTGTAAATGTGATTTTAATGTCTATTTATGATACTGTATTAATTTATATAAGACGCATAAAAACTAATTTAATTACTAAAGTATACTGTATATAATAATATACATAATATTAATAATGTAATTTAACTAAATTTTTGTATTATCAATATATAATTTAGGATTAGACCAAAAAAATTATTGGCACTACTATTGATAATATACAGACTCTACAAAAAAGGGGGATCGAGTAGTAACCCGTGGCTAGAGGTTTAACTTAGGGGTGAGGACTGGTTTTTTTGGACAGTTGGGCCTCAAAAATGTATTATAAGTTTAGATTTAAATTTTTCACTCTCAGTCTATACAATTATCAAACTAAAGTTAACAAGTTGTCTAAAATAATATAGTTGCCAAACACACAATTTTTATTACATTCATATTATTATTTTAATTGTAAAATAATGTAAAAATATAAATAATTTATAAAATAGTATTTCTTAAAATTTAAAAAAAATACATTTCTTTATAATTATTTCAATATTTCTTATAATTATAATTAACCAATTATTTGATATTTCTTTAATAAAATAATACACTTAAAATTTAAATTACTATTTAATTTAATGTTTTGATATATCATAGCTATTTTATTATTAAAATTGAGTATATATTTAAATTGACATTAAATTAATTTATTAATTAAGATTCATAATGCAAATTGTGTTATATGTTGTCACTAAAATACAAATATTGTAATATTTAAATTTATTTTTTTTTTGTTAAAAATAATGTATTTGGCCATACCTATTTTGAAGGTAACTGAGTTTAGCTCAGTTCAACTTATGTATATCATAGGATGATTACTGTCTTAGATAATTGCAGTTATAGACATCACTTTCTACATCAGTATTTTACTGTATATATATATAATCAGTATATGTATAGAGAAAAATATTTTTTTTTTGCAAAAATCTTTATAAGTAATATCTAATCTATTATTAGTGGGCCAGTAGTAGTCAATATGTAAAAATGTATACATAGTATATGAAAATATGTTTGTTAGCTCCCAGTCATAGTTACTATAACTAATGGGACGAATCCCAGGGCTCACATAATAAAAGTATGAACTGTATGTATGCTTTCAAATGTGTGTACCATTTGGTGCGCAAACCATTAGCCGATAGACTATTATTCATTGTTTGGTATGTTATACACTGTATAACACAGTATAATAGTAGACAAAAAAAATGCCAAAAAAATAGACAAAGAGATACAAAGGACTACACATTAGGTAAAAGGGGTTTCAAAAGTTATAAACAACAAGAAATGCAATTAATTTTATTGCATTTGGTTTTTCACAAAAGTTTTCAATATTGTATATATTAAACCTTTTTTCTCTCAATTATAAGACACAATTATGTGGGTATTTAAAGTGCTTATCATATGTTGCGATCGGCAAACCATATGAGAGGGGAGATTCCCATCTCCTTTGTGTGTCATTGGCTTACGTGAGGCACTGTACGACAAAAACATACTGTTTCTCACCAAACATAACGTCCATATATGTGACTGTTTTAACAGTTCCCCAATATATAGAAACCAACGGTGACTTACAGTATCGATTAGCGGTCGATACTTATGGTGTGTTGAACTGAATATACATAGTATGTACTGTCTGTCCCTTTAAAAACATACAGTGCTCTCACATATACACTGCTCTGTTGTTGTCTAACAGTACAGACACACAAAAGAAAAGGTGTGGCCATTGCCTGCTTGTGTTGACTGTGTTTTGGTAACACATTTAGACAAACACACTGTAGTAGTAGTATATCATGTATTAAGTGTTTATATGTTGTTTGTGTTGTCTATACAGTACTCTCTCTTTCTCTCCCAATGCCTCACTATATGCTAATTAAAAGTCTCGTGTATTTAATATAAGAAACATATTATATATATATTTAAAAAAAAAGTTTGAGAGAACCACTCATAATATTATATCATTCATAATGTTTGTTATATAATAAAAATATTCAATATTATAGTGCATTGAATTCTGTCTTTCATATTACTATTTTTTGTGTTTTATTTGATAATATAAATGAAATAATAATTATATTATAAATTTATTTTTGATTATAAAACAATGATTTGATCCTTTTCTTCGGCAATTTTTTAGTGCCAAATATGATAGAAGTGTTCACTAATTTATTTTATAATAATTAAATTTCTAGAATTTTTAGTAATTAATTTAATATATTATTTTGTATATATATATATATATATTGATTAAATTTTTATATTATTATTAGTATCAAAATATGACTATTGCATTTCATATTATATAATGTATAGTTGATAATATAAGCATTTATTACTGTATATTGTACTATATATTTAAGGAGTTTATTATTTACTATTAAATATAATAGATTTTTTAAGATAAATCTGTCACTGCCGCCTACATTGTGTTCAATTAATAATAATTAATTAACTTATCGTAATAACTTCAAAAAATATTATGATAAAATAATTAAAATAATAATAATTAATATAATAATAATAATTTTATTTAATTAAAAAAATATATTATTATACATTAATATTTGTGTCATTTAAGTCTTAAAATTTTTTTAATAATAAATTCAATTTATCATATTATATATATATAAATATATATATATCTAATCATTGCATGATAAATGTAATGAATATAATGTAGAATATCAACAACAAAATAAATACCATTTATTAAGTCCACATATTCTGCATGTAATCATTATTACTCATCTAAAGGTAAATTATATATATTATTCTAATTTAAAATAAAATATTATTTTTAACTAAATATTAAGACACTAAATGAAATATATATAATATTAATTTGTTTATAAGTTCTTATTATTTTAAATTTTTCTAATTATTTTGTTTGTTTGTTTTTTTTTGTTTAAAAAACTATATAAATGCATATTAATAAATAAAGCAGCAAATTATAAAATTTAAAGAATAATTATTGAAATATGTGCTAGTATAAAAATATCAGTTAAATATAAAAAAGCACTTTAAGAAAATTTGCACTTTAAAAAATAATTAACATAATAGATAATATTGTAGTAATCATTACTAAGATTTAAATATCATAAAAATAGCGATAATAAATAAAGTATAATTGCTTATATAATTATTTAAGTGCTTAATTTATTGACTTATTAAAATTTATTTGCCTCTAAAATCTTATAATGCATTTATATATTTTTTAGCGACAATTTTGTTATCATTTAGACTAATTATGAAACTCTTTTTAAATATTGTTTTTTTTTATTTGTTATCAAAAGGAAATTTTAATTGAGTGATTATCTAATAAATTTAAATAATATTTTTTTTATTGTTGTCTATTATTTCTAGCTTATACTTCAATACAAACTGTGAAACATATTGAAGCAAAAAACCCATTAAATACCTCAGAAAAAAATAACAAACAAAAATTACTAGTATTTAAGTATTCATATGATTATCAAGTTTTCTGGAAAAAACTTTTTATTGTAAATTGAGTCAAAACAAAACAAAATAAATAATTAAGAAAAATAATGCAAAAAATAAGAGCAAAGTCATCGTCAAAGACAAGACATTCAGGTGTCGCACAATTAGCCAACAGTAAAGCAAAGTTGTGTTATAGGACTAGACGTAATTATATTATAGTTAATGATGAAGAGGTGGACGAGGAGGAGGACTGTCATCATAAGTTGATCCAATCAAGTCCTGTCCGCAAATCAAAACATCAAAACAAATGGAAATTCGGTATAATTGCCAAAAACAAGAGTCTGAAGACAACGTGTAAACGACGACAACATAAGAGACGGGCAAAGAGTACAAGAAATTTGATTGAAAAAGGAATTATTACTAGAAGTATATCCAAGAAGTTGATCGACAAAAACATACTGGACTTTGATAACTATTTCATTGTGAAAAACCAGTCAACAAGTCGTATACTGAATGACGACACTTTGAAACTTATTTTCCAATACCTGTCCCTTAAGGATCGGTTCCGTATACAGAGGACATGTAAACAATTTTATTCTGTGATTCAAGAGATGCTCGCCGACCAACTGTCCCTCAGGATTGGTAATATTGCTGACTATTATGCCAATTGTGGTGATAATCGACACTCCACTCTAAACGCCAATATTGAGGACGCCATCAATAAGAAATATTTCTATAAATATTTTTATATGAATGATATCACTGCCAGTAAGGAAACATTAGCCCAGGTATTATGGAAGTGCCCTAATGTCCGGTGCCTAGAATTGCATAATTTTAATTTGGACGTCGAGACTGTTAAGTGGCTTAAATGGCATTCACCTAATATTGAATGTTTGCGTTTAGATGAAATCAAGTACGACCTGACGGCACGCAAGTGGTCACAAATCGGCCAATTATTAGGCGACAAATTAATTCATTTATTTATCGACGCTTACGGAATCAAAAATGATTTAACAAATTTGGTCCAACATTTGCCATCACTTGAAGAGTTCAAGCTTCGCAAATATGAACTACCGCTCCAACTGCTCATTAAACGTCTTTCCTCTAACATTAAATCCATTTCCCTAATTGAATGCGAAAAGTTGTCGCCCGATTCAGTGAAAGCCATCGCTAATAATAAACAAATTGCACGAAATCTACAGAAACTGGAACTACAAGTCAGCACCGGTAACACAGAGTTAGATATCAAAGAGATATTTAACACGATATGCACTGGATTTTCTCGATTAAATAATCTACAATTTCAGTCTCACTACTGTCCATCAAATATTACCGAAATAATAGCACTGTCACAGTTGTCAGCACTAGACCTACACTTCACTCGCGACTGTTATTTGGATTTGCGACCCATTGAGTGCTATTCCCTACTAAACTTACGGTCCATCCGAATACACGGCGCCTTCTTTAGACCACAAATGCTCGAAAAAATTGGCCAACAATTTCCAAACTGCCGGCGACTGTCGCTAACAAATTGGGCCTTTTGTTGCGGTTGCGCCGACAATCAGTTCGCCGATGAATACGACTGTCCAGATTGTGACGACCGATGTTGTCAAGCCTTACTTCAACTGGAGAACATTGAGCACCTGTACGTCGAGTTTCTCTATTCATCCGACTATATAAAGCAACTGATCTTAAAGCTGCTATCCTTTGAAAAGCTCAACACATTGACATTGGTCTGGTATCCGGTAAACACTAGTATAAACAGTATTAACTTTATTAACGCAATTATCAAATACGGCATATCTGTGGCCAACAAACGTAAGAACCAATTGATTCGCTTCCAGTTTGAAAACTCTGTGATCGCACTGATGGACGCATCCGTCAAAATACCACACAATTTGCTCGTCAAGTCTATTGACTGACAATTGACTGTTGTTTTAAGTAAATTTTAAATATTATAAAAAAAAGTTTAAAACTATTTATGATAATATTTAATAATCATATTTAGACAAATTTCAAAACATTGAATTAATTGAATTACATCTAATAAGATTTAAAAACACTTTAGATCTCTATACTGACTATCAAATATATAATTAAAATTATAATATAATATTTCAAATATTTATATCATTTGATAAGCTTAAATGATATGTACTTTTATTTGCTCAAATTTTTTAAAAAATAAGCAAGTATAATTTAATTAACGTTTAAGTAATTTTTGAAAAATTATTTTTTAATATGTCTTATTTGATTATTTATTAACATATATTTTAATCATTAATTTTAGCTCAATTTATTTTATTATTACCGTAATTAAGATTATTATTAACGATGGGATTTTGGTTTATTAATACAATATTGTATTTTTAATGCAATTATATTATTATTCAAAATGTTTTTTAAAAGCACAGATATATAACTTTTATAAACCAATAATCAAATATTTACTGTATTAACTATATATTTAATTTTAATTCTCAGAATTATTATATATATATATAGAGTTTTATATAATAAAATGTATTAAATAATATAACAATTTTAAGGTGTAAAACATTGATTGTTATATTAATTAATGCATTGATGAAAACAGCGTCTATTGTGGATCTCAAATGAAATTTTTAAAAATTGCATTAAAATTAATAATAACTTATAAAATGTGTTTATTAACTCTAATTTAATAATTTATAACCAAGTATTTATATGCTGTACTTATTAATATACACTTATATTATACAGTAAAAATATTTACAGTATACCCAATTATGTTAATTATATTGAAATTGAAAATATAAATTATATTTTTTTGCTCAAAATATTATACCGTTTAAAGATATAAATCAATTTAAATCAAACTTATTTTGATTAATTTTTAAGTCCATTTATTTTGTATATTAAAATTATATAATTATATATATATATTAAGATAAAATATTGCTTGATTATTTTATCTTATAATGTCATTAGTATAATTTACTAAAAATAAGTTTTATAATTAAATATAATATGTGTTCATTAATATATATAAATATATATATATATTAATTTTTAAAATTATTGTAAACGCTTGACTGCCATTGATTTATAAAAATTTACAAATATAATTTTTTAAGAAAAATATAATTATTGATACTGTTATACTATTAAAAACACATTATATCAAATATACTATTGTAACGTACTGTATTTATGAAAATTTTATTTAGTAATATTTGTAAACAATATTTTATTTAAATAAAATTTTTAAAAATGATTTATATATATATATATATTAACTTTATTTATTTAAAAACTACAGAAAAAATTTAAATCATATAAATAAAATTTAAACTATAAATGTTTCAAATGAAATCATGTAATTAGTAAATAAAATAATAAATTTACAAAACTGATGAAAAAGCTGCTACTTTTTGGCACTGATTAGAGCCGACATCACAAATGTCTTCAATTTTCTTCGGGAGCGACGTTCGGCTTTCAAGGCATCGGACAAACTCTTGATTTCCTAATAACAATGATATTGAAAATTACCGCAAAATTAATTACCGATAAAAAAATATTATTTTCAAAGATTTTTTTAAATACCATTTTCATTTGACGCAATTCATTAACCAATGAATTCTCATTACTATTAAATAGAGAAAATTATTTTTAAAAATTACAAAAATATAAAAACAGATAAATATTAATTAATTAAACATACGTTTCTCCATTTCGTTGTATAAAATCATTATTTTGTGTCAACTTTTCTTCATCGACAATATATACGTTAGGTGTGTCTGAATTGTTATATCATTTTTATAATAAATTATAATCAATATCTCAATTATTAATACAATGTATTATTAGTGATTTAGTTATTTTACCTGACGATTGTCGTGACTGTCCTCTATTGCAATAGCTTTCAATGATCTGCAACATAATCATATCATCATTTGCACTCAAATTGCACTTTTTATCGGCCACAACAGCGCCATTATCACTGTGTGGTTTCATACGAGTTGGCGGATAAGGTAATAGACATTTATTTGTCCAATAAGTGCTTCGCGGTGTTGGCGGTGTCTGTACGACACTGCGTTGCGATGCATTGGCCATAATATTAAACGATGAAGAACTGTCACTATTAGACGAGTGTATACCCGATCGTTGACCAATGCTTTCCGAACTGTGATGTATGTGTTTAGCACCGGCACTGGTATTACCAGCAAAACTTTGTTTCAATGTTTGTGTGTGTAAGATATACTTATTCAATAACTCGATCCAACTTTTCGAGTCATCAATAGTTGGACATTGAATTATAAAAGTTTGTTTCGATGTCTTGTCATCACTGGTGGTGATCTCAAAGATATTTGTCGAATCAATTAATTCGCTGTTAGTCTTAATGATTGCTTCTTCCAATTTCAACTTTGCCTAAAATAAAATGTAAGTCAATTAAAATGAATTTCATAAAAAAATCTTTTTTTTTTAATTGAAGGCCTACTTCATAGACAAACGATGTCATTTCGGTGCTGACCGATAGCACCAAAAGTATTTGTGGGAAAAGTACTAAATATCGATCTTTTTTCATCTCAGAATATTCTGGTATAATGTGTATACTAACAGAATCCATGCGAACAATTTCACCTAACATTTGAATATTCTGTAAAATTTTTATGGATTAATGTATTTTTTAAATTAAAATTTATATAAACTATATGTAACTACCGGTCCCTCCCAGTTCTTGATGTTGCCTAATATGACTTCCAGTTCCATCTCCTTTCGACGTCTTAATTCAAGACATTCCATCTGTAATTATTGAAAGTTATGGACAACTTATATATTAATAGACTGTTAATATAACAATACTAACCGACAACTCTCTGTATACAAATCCTGCCCTTTGAGTATCTCCTCTATCGACATGTCCTTCCTTTTTGAATTAAATCATATTTACTGTATTAAACCCAATGTCCAATTAAATCAATTAATTTTTAAATCAATTACATCAGTATATCTTTGAAGTTCTTGAAGTAGTGCCGGATATTTATCAATCCGTCTAAACGATGCACTCAAACAAGCTGTTAGCTGAACATTACCGGCGCTGGCATCAGAAGGATTGTTAGTCGATAAGAGGTGACAAATCTCTTTTCTAAATAAAAAATAATAATATATATATTGAATATAGTTTTTTAATAAAAAAAATCCTATCCATAACATACTTATATTTTTCAATTGAATACACAAACTTTGCGTGATTTGCACAGTAGTCCAGATGGACGGCCTTTATTTGCGGTGCAAACTCAAGAAACACACCACCGATGCGAATGTCTTTATAAGGATGTCTATAAAAAAAAGTATCCTATAATTACATTTTCACTATTCAACTACAAAACTAAATAAGTTTGTCATCAATTAGTTTCATACGAATTAAGACCATTGAGTGCCACCAGAAAGCGTCGGTGAACTGATCCGATCTCTTGTACAATACGTATGATTGAGTTGATCTCGTTTTCGGGTAAACTATAGATCAATAATATTTTTAATTTCATTAAAAATTGCTATAAATAATTGTCATTAAATACATTTGTGACGTTTGTAATGGTTTCAAATAGCGATTAATTGTGTCCATAATATCTCTAACATACGCTGACTCCGTATCTTCAATGTCTTGAAATACCTGACCATTTGATAACAATAATTAATTGATTAAAAATTATTGAATAGTAGTACTAATAAATCAAACCATTTGTCTGTACTGTTGCGCATCGGTATCGCAACTGTTGGCCACACTATTGCCGCGATGACTGCTTTCGCCATTTCTCATATCGGCGTCCGTTGTGGCCACCGGTTGGACATAGTTTGCCGGAAACCAACCGGTTATGTCATTGAGAGTTCCCTCCCACCAGCCGCCGGTCGGACATTGGGTTAATGTGATTATCTGATCGACAAAACAATGGTTTACTAATAAATCAATTTCATGTCATTAACTGATCCAATACATCGTCTTTGTTGAAACACAGCTCATCATTGTTTGTGGGCTTAAAATTATAGACAGCTTTCACCAGTTTTATGCCGTTCACCGATACATCCATCGGTGGTCACGATATGTAATTGTTGTCACCAATTGTGGCCAAATCACCGATAATATTGTTTGATATGTTTTTTATTTACTTATAACTGATAATCAATTATAAGCTGTCATTGAATTGAAATTCATGTGACAATCAATTGGTTTGACTTTAATTTTACTAAAAAAAACTAATAAATAAATAATTAAATAAATAAAATCTAAAAAACTGTTAGTAAATAATAAATAAATAAATTTAATAAATAATAAAAATTAATTTAAAAAAGTGTTTCATTTGTGAAACAATTAGCTGTCAATTGAAAACATTGTGTGTTTTTAATCTCATATTATGATTGTGTGCTATAAATAAATATTGCAAACAATTGACTGATTTTTTGTTTGACTGCAAACCATAGATGGCATTAAAAGTACACATATTTTACAAGAATATTGTTTACAAAAATAATTTATATTTAAAGATAAAATATGACTTTTTTTAAATTTATAGTTTTTATTATTACATATTTTTGTTGTTAATAATAATAATAATAAATAATAATAATAATAATAATAATAGATTTATTAGTAAAATTGTGTGCAAATTATGAATATTGGTATCACTATAACCATCATTATAATGATGAATATATTTTTGTTGGTCATTGCATTAATTTATATCCTATAAAATAAAGCTTAATGAAAGCACAGTTAGATATTATTATAGCATATAATTAACATTTGACTCTTAAAACAAACAGGTAATACACTAACAGCCCTAATATGCTTTTAAAAATATTAATATTTATTTATTACAAATTTTTTGCTAACATTTAATTACTTTAATTTTTTAATCAATCAATTTATAAATATTTTATTTTTATTTTCATCTAATATTTTGATAGGAAAGAAAAGTTTTACATAAAAAATGATTGTATTATTTGATAAGTATTTTTGATGCCTTATTTCCAATACATATGGTTTGATAGCATATAATAATTGATTGACATTTGCATTGACTGTAAAAGAGGTCATTTACTGCCAAATTTGCATCACTTGTTATTTGATGTAATCATTTATTGTTGTTTTTTGGTGCTATTTATTGGCCATACATTCACTTATTATTATTATAATTAAAATCACATTTTTGCTTTCTCTCTCTCTCTCTCTCTCTCTCTCTCTCTCTCTCTCTCTCTCTCTCTCTCTCTCTCACTCACTCACTTATACTATAAATTTTTTATAGTATAAAATATAACATTATTTAATAGATGTGTTTGATAGACAAGAGTTTGAGATTTTTTTAGACTATGATTTAGACGATCAATAAACACTTAAATAGACATTTACATTTTAAATTAAGTATTAAATAATAATATTTAATATAATTTATATATTTATTCAATACTTTATATACAAACTTTAGAAAAAATATTTGTATCAAAATTATTAAAAGTATTTATTTGAAATAATTTCTTCACATCAGAAACTTTCTCATAAAATTATTTTTTATTTTTTTAAATAATAAAAATGAAATTAATTTATTATTTATGTATACAGTTATGTAAACTTTCTCATCATATTTAAAATAATTATTTAATAGAGTGTATAAAATTTATATAAATTTAATTTTTGTTACAGTAGTATATATATATATATATATATATATATACTGTTTATATAAATTATATATACAGTATTTTTTATTAATGTTTAACTAAAAAATATATGGTTTGATATTATGGATATTTTGCTTACACACACATACATACAGATGTTAATGCTAAATTAAATATATTAAGATTTTTATAATATAATATTTTTAACAATCAAATTAGAAAAATACAAAACATTTTACTTTTTTTTATTATATTCACTTTTTTTGCATAATAAGTGTGAATATAAACTATTTGTCAAACATTATATCCATAATTAGGCGTAAAACTTGACAAAACATTTTGTTTTGTTATTCAAATTATTTGATGTAATTTTTTTAAAAATAATTTTATTTTTATTATGTTCACGCATTTTTTTGAATGATTCAAATATAATAATTATTGTTATGATTGTTGCTATCAAACCCTTTTGAATACTATTTTTAAGATTCAATTTATGTGAGAATTTTTTTTTGGGAAAAATTGTAATGTATTTATTTGAGGAAATGATTGACTACTCTATGATAGAATATACGTATATATAAAATATATTTTACATTTAACAGTTATGTTTTATTATAATAATAGTGAAAAAAATTTTAAAAGCAATGTATTATTATTTTTATTAATATTAACTAATAGTTTATGATATTATATATATATATAAAAGACACGTTTGGCTATTGAAATGTTTGTGAATATATAACATTAACTATTGGTTTCTGCGATATTAAATGTTTATGAATCACACCATTAGAGATGTTAATAAACTTTTAACTAAAATCCATTCACAGCACTTGAATATAAACTATCGGTGCTCTCACTCTCGTCAGTGTATACTATATAATATATAGTATATATTATATAAGAATCGTCTATAAACCTGTAAAAAGCTATGTTTGATAAGATATTTACCTCAATATTATTATTAATGAGAGAATATTAATAATTTTGTCAGAAATATATCTAAACGTTTCATTAGACTAATAATTTTTAAGATTACTAACAGTGATGGCTTAGAGTTTTACAAAGTTTGGTGAACTGAAAGATTACTCAAATATTAATGAAAATATACTGTATTAATATATATTTTTAGTTTATATATATATTAATAATGTTATACATTTTAACTAAAAAAATAAAAGTTATTATTAACTTGAATTATACATTTAAATAAATTAAATGCAGTTAATATAAACAGTATTTTTTAATTTTAAATACAATAATTTATACTATTTATGTCTTTTTAAGTTTTCTGTAAAATTTATATTTAGATATCTTTCATAAGATTACTTATATTATATTACAATAATATAAACATAATATTAATTACTTCAAACATATATTAATAGTAGATTCACTATATTTTTAAAGCCTATATTAACTATATTAAAACGCTTGTTATAAAAATATGATAATATTTAAATAATTTAAAAATTAAGTAAAAATGATTAATTATTATTATTTACGTAAAATATTTATCAAATATTCTAAAATTGTATTAATATTAATCATTTTTTACTATATTTTGTATAAAAAGTCAAAACTACATTATTTCAATTTAAAACTATATTCAATCAATATTTTTAACAATTATAACTAAAAACACAGTTAATAAATCTCATAACAATTATTTTTTTTTGTTATTTGATAAACATTTTCAGTAAATAATTTTACGTGATATGTCATAAAATTTATAACAATAATAATTTAGAAAGTTTACAATTTATGAATTTTTAGTATTGTATTTTAAATTATGAAATATTCTACAAAATAAGTATAAACACCAAAATTAACATATTTAAATCGTTATAATTATTTAAAAATATATCAAAATAGTACCAAATATATCATGAGTATGAACCAGACAATTATGCCAGCAATTTGTTTGGTTTTGTTTTTTTAGTAATTTATTACCGGTATATACTTTTAAAATGTTATATAATTGTTTATAAAGTTTTTTGGCAAAAAAATCATTACGATTTTATATATTAAAAAAACTTATTATGATTATAAAGTTTTCTTATAAAAAGTAAATACTAATTTTATTAAACAAACATTATATTTATTATAATACATTTGAACGTTAATTGATAACTTGTTATTTAACTAGAAAACCATTTGAAAGACATAATAATTTTATTATCATTACATAACTATTAATAATGATAGTTGTGTCTAATTTTATGTCTTTTTCTGTTGAATTGTATATTAAAAGTACAAATTTAGCATTTGTTTCGTTATATACATTACTATATTTTCATATGTAATATAATTTACAGTAAATATTTTTTGCTAATAACAGGTGTTGCAAACAGTATTTTTACGACTAATAGTTTTTATAGCAAACATTTTTATTTTATTGTTATTATTTTTGTTAGAAAAATAACATTGTTTTTAGTGACTATGAATAATACGTGTATAGTTTTATATTAAGATGTTTGTTTAATACTAAAATTATAACAAAAGAAAAAGTTATATTTTGTTTTATCTTTATTATGATTGGGATAATAATTATAATTATATTGAAATTTTTGTAGTCAATTGTGGTATTTTTGTTAATGATTTTAAATATAACTCTATTTCATCGCAACAAAATACAATATTTTATTCAACTATACACTTATTGTATGTAATAATTTCAATGTAAATATAATTACCAGTTTATTTTGCAATATTTTTTTACTAGTTTGCATATATTACTAGTGGAAAAAACAAATAACACTATTGGGGGGTATAATTACATAGACGGATTATTTTTTTAAAGCAAAAAATATAATACTGTAATTATAATTTATACCCATCAACTCAATTGACTATTTTTTTAAAAGCGTAAATATTACTATTGCTTATAATTGATACTATGCTAATTTTGGTAATTTATCTTTTTCTAGAGTATTATATAATTATTACTATTAATGATTGTTGATCTGTACATAAATCCCGGTAGTATTTTATATAAATTTGTTTATAAAAAATTTTAAGCTTAATATTTGTATATAAATTTATTTAAAATTGGATTATACTTTTAAAAATATATAGTGTACAGTATTTCCCTAAACTTTTTTTTTATTGTTTTGATTGTTAATAATGGTTTAACCTTGATGTTTTTGTTGTTTAATCATATTTTTTTTACTATTTTCTTATATATATAACAAATAAGATATAATTGAATTTTTCACTCATTTTTTTCTCATTGATTATACATAAGCGCAGTGAAGGTTGAGTTCAATCATGAGTTTAAATGTTTTCTCTCTTAGGAAAAGCCATAATAAAAAACATAATTTCCTAATACTTTTAATACCTGTTGTGTGAAATGTAAAGCAAACTTATTAAGTAAAGCAAAGCGTTTAAAATATATACAATATATATATACCGGTATATATGATTAATATRTGATATATACTAATATTTTTAATACTATTTGCCGTACTATTGAAACTACCGTTGCCCTCGACCTGTGCTCTATCGATATATATGACTATAAAATTTTATTAAATTAGTCTCTGCCGGTAGTCTAAATTATATTATATATTACTTTAAATATATTGATGTCTTAATATAATTACTTATACAGTATTATAAACCACATAAACTCTCTCTCTCTCTCTCTCTCTCTCTCTCTCTCTCTCTCTCTCTCTCTCTCTCTCTCTCGATATTTAATACAAATTTTATATGAAAGGAATTGAAGCGTTTAATAGTTAAATCAATCCTTCAATCATTAAAAATTGTTTTGAACTTTTTCAGTAATAGTCACGACTGAAATGAATTTAAAGATGATTTAAAATAAAAATAATTTTTAAAAAACTATAACTTCTTATTTAAGTGTTTTTATTTTTATTGTTTACCAATTGATAGCAATACGGTATATATATATATATATATAGAAATTATATTCATTCATTGAGACACTAATCAGCTATTATTTTATTTGTTATTTGTTTGAATGGATTTTAGTTGTCATAAAATGTGAATATCAATGAGTTTATGACATGAATTAATAATTTTACTATTTTCTATGACTGATTTATATAATATCTAATAATAATAATATTTTTTTAAATCTTTTTGTACTGTTATCAAAAGTTTGTCAATTTTATATAAAAATTTGCATTTTTATTTAAAAGTTGTCATTTGAATTAAATAAGGTTTTAAGATAATTATTAATTTATAGTATTTTTTATTCTAAATTGAGACAAAAAACAAAGAGTATAAATTTTTAATGAAAAATCTAAATATTGATAAATGCAAAAACTAATTTGATATCACATAACAATGAATATTAAGCGACAATAACCTAAATTCCGTTTATGATATCAGTATTGAAATTCTATACTAAAAATATATGAAAACAATTTAATTTTTGATGGTTTCAATGTTTGAAAGCGTAAAATATGTGTCAAAAACTTTTTAAATAAAAATTGAAAGTGAAAGCCCTTTGAGATAAATGTACGGATAGTCATCGTTATTGTTAAAAGTTAGTGATTGTTATTAAAAGTTATTGAATATATATATATAAAAAATACTGTATTATATACAATATAATACCCTTTTATTCTGAATATAACTTTTCATTTTAAAATCTTAAGGTCAATCACATCTCAATCCCTGTATTAAAGAGAGTTAAATCTCAATTGAAAGTTATTTAATAAATGAGTAATGATATAGAAAGAGAGAGAGAGAGAGAGAGAGAGAGAGAGAGAGTCCCGTATTATTTAATAAACATTATTATTAAAATAATTCAATGATTGCAATATAGGATATCGTTAATGATATAGTGGTGTATATGTTGTCGAAACCAGCGGCACATGAGTTGAATATATAAATAAATTTTGAAAATTATTTTTTATATATTGTTTGTTACTATTTTTTATTTGACTTTTATTTTATCTTATTTTTATGTAATTTGCAAATGAATTTGTAAAATTTAAATTTCTCTATTATTTGAATATAATAATAATTATTTTTGTTACATACATACAGTATATACTGTATTGTATTGTATTTAAATTAATGATATTTGATGTTAATTAGGAAAAGTCTGTTTTCGGGAAATTATATTAAACTAATAACATATTATAATTTTATTGTTGACACTCCTGTTTATTATGGAAAGCGCATCCCTTATTAAAATATAAAATACTTTATAAATTATAATATACTAAATACATATTTGTTAAGCACTGATTAATTTTATGAAAACAATTTATTTATTCATAATAATTTCCACAAATTGTTTACATTATATTTTATTATTTACCCCTATTATTGATAATAACTTTATTATTATTATTTTAAAAAATGAATTTATAAATTAAATAATCACAGCTTTTATGGACATTGAATAGTAAATTATGTATAAAAAAATTATTATACATTATTATTTGAATGTAAATATAATTTTAAACAATAATAAATTAATTGAATCAAATATTAAATTGAAAGTGAATTTTAATTAATGAACAAAAAAATGAAATTAATGAATGCAAAAGAGATTTAACTATTTTTTTTTGTTTTGTTTAACCAAAAGCAATGAATGGATTGTCATTTTTTTGGTCAATGAATGAATGTTTTGAACTAAAAACACAATTTTCTAGTCATTTAATAATTATATTAAATAAATAAATACATAATAATAATAATAATATTGTTTTTGAATTAATTAAGAGTGAAAGTGATGTGTTATTCAATACGTGATACGTGTGACCACATTTGTGCACTCATTGGCTGCCGGTGTGTAGTGAATGGCCGGTAATTAGATCCCGTGTGAGAACTGGTATGCGATGGATGACCACTAACTGTTGTCGTCGCCGACGATGTGCTCGTTGTGATAGACTCCTGGTCTTTGTGGTAGTGATTGGTGTCACCACAAGCCAACAGACCAGTTGATGGACAGCAATAACTGTTGGATCGCTTGATAATCAATAGACAGACACAACACGAGCCCAGTATTGTTAGCTTTTAAAACAAAATGAGTTAATTAGACATTATATTTATGATGTATTGTATCGTCAATTTGTGTGATTATAATTTATTCACATAATATTGTCATATAATATGGTCTTATATATATATATATATATMTGTAGATAACTTCCTATATAGAGAAACTCATTATTATTATTATTATAAGTTGATTGTTACCATTATTATCAAATGATTTGCTTTTAAACTAAAAATAATGATTCAATTTTAATGATGTGTTTTGTTTGACACAACTGTTTTCATAGGAAATTCATTTAACCCATAATGTAATGTTTGTCTCATAAAGTTTTGTTTTTTTATTAATGAGTATATGTCAGCTAATTGCTTATAATATATTATAATTTATAAAAATTTATTTTTCAATGCATTTATCTATTCATTGATTACATTTTTTTTAAACAAAAATGCAAAACAAATGCTAACAGTTTATTATCAATGTCACACATAAAGGTATTAATTAAAATGTCATCAACTATTTTAGACACTTCCCTGTTTTGATGCATAGACCACAATATATCAATTAATTATATTATTAAAGTAGTGAATATTTATTTATTTTTTTTGATAAACTTATCAAACTCTATATTCAATATTATATATTTTATATACAGTACTATTATTGAAGATTTAAATTTCAGTCTTATGATAAATACTGTGTATTATTAATAATTTATTATTATATGTAAATAAAATATTGTTATTACCTGTAGTGTAACGAGAGTGACCAAACCGGCCAATAATGTTGTTTTTGATGTACAAAATAGCGACTCCTGACTCTCCATATCTATTAAGGAAATACAATGAGAGAGATATTTAGTAAAAATATATAACAAAAATAATAAAAATATTTATAATCATTATTTTTAATTAAATGGTTTCAATTTTCATATTTATATTACTTTTATTGTATATATTACTATCGTATGAATACCAATGAAGTTTATCATTATTATTATTTAAATCAAAAATACTATTAATATATGCTATACTGCTTTTTAAGCAAAAATAAAATTTATTTTTTTTGTAATATCTTTTTTTTATAAATATAGTATTCATTAATAACTTTTGTTGAAAATTATATTAATCTATAGAAAAATATGAATATTTTTTCCTCATTATATCCTTCCTGTAATAACATTGTTTTAAAAATTTTGTAGTTTTATTATAAACATAAACAAAATTGTTTCTGTATGTAAAAAATTCATTCAACTCTTTTTTTTATTGAGGAAAAAATTTCAAGTTTTAAAGCAATTTTATTGATTAACTAAAAGATCTTAGCTTTAAAAAAACTATGCATTTTAACATTTGTTACTTTACATTTCATTGAGTAAACTTTGAAATAAACCTTTTTTTTTTGAAAATATAAAACTATACTTTTTTTATGTACAATGTGTGTACAGTTTATATTCAATCGATAGTCACTCTCATTTGGTCACCAAAAATATCTATCATTACATTTATAAGGTTATGTATGTATTTCAATATTTTTTATTTAAAGTTTGATTTTATGTCAAAAATATCTATCTTTTTTTTTGGTATTATGTTATGATAGGCGCTTCAAAACCGATTAGTTATGAATGAATTGCGATCACACAAAGTGTCGACAAAATATTATATAATTTATTTGAGAAGTGATTTTTACTGAAACTTTCGCTTAATTTTGATGATTTGTGCCTCAATTTTGTCGATCATTTTGTGCGATTTTTTTATGATTTTATATTTCTGTAAGATTTATTATTTTTTTTTGTTGGAAACACTTAAATATTTTATAAATCTATAGAATATAGTATTTTATTACCTCTTTTTTTATTTAATATTGAATTTACAAACAAATTTCAAAGTCAATGCAAGTTTTTTTTGTAATAGACTTTTCTTTACCATAAAAATACAGTATATTTTTATTATATATTATAAGTAAATAATTTTTTGTGATTTTATTCAAAAATTTGTAAAAAATTATTTACTTAATAATATACTAAATTTTACTATCAATAGTAAATATATTTTAAATATTTATTTTTTGCTTATTTTTTAAAAGGAGTCTTTCTTTCAACTACTCATTGAAGACCAAACTATAGACCAAATCCTCATTTATTTAGTGTATATAGTATTATGTTTTAAGGGTAATAGTTATATAACAACTAAAACATGTGATACAAAAAAAATGTTTTCACTCTAACTAAACATTTTCTCTTATTTTTTGTATACATATTATATACTTTATATGAAATTATAGTTACATAGATTGCTAACCAAAAGGAGAGTTTGCTTTTTGCATTCAATGCAAACCTTAAAATTTAAAAGTTATGTTTAGTGTATCTATATATATATAAAAGGATGAGACGTCTCTCACAAATAATATTTACAATTTATGTCTCTTTGAAACCTATTATTATGGACTACTCATAGAAAAATGCAAAATTATTTTTGCTTATGTTGTTTGTGTGTATGTTATATCAATACAACTCTTAAAACTTCAAGTTATGTATAATAAGTTATATAATATTTTATAAGCAGTTTATACGGTATGTCTACGGTGTTGATGTCTAATATACGATCATTTGCTGTATAGTTTAGGGGGATTTTCATATGTATTTTTAAATAAAATTATTATTATTTTTATGCTATTTATAAATTGTATTGATATAAGTTATATATGCATTATGTAATATAACCGTGAGGTAGAGCGATATTAAAGGCATGATTTTCTAATATTTCATCGATTTCATAGAAATTTATATTTATATTTATAGATATAAATATTATGTTATATATTTACTAGACTTAGTATTAAATGTTGAAAATTTGTAATTTTTTTTAAATATCTTCAGAAAAAATATGTGAATGATTTACGAGAAACCATTTAAAAGAGGGGTAATCCATGCGATGACTGCCTTTTTCTAATATAATAGCCCTGTATTTTGTTTTGAAGGACATATCAATTTGTTTGATAACAGAGAACCACAAAAAACAATAAGTAATATCATTTGAAATATGTTTTTGAGATTTTTGATTTTCTTTGTGGTAAATAACTTGAATTTTGATTTATACTAACCATTAAACTCTGGAACCAATGGCTTTAATAATGAGCTCTTGGCTGCCGAAGAAATGCCTTCAACGATGATCTCACGGTGGAGGGGATAGTCCGGTAATAGTGTAGTCGCCGGTGTTGTCATATTTCTTGTATTAAAATTATTATTATTACTATTCTTATTAAACAAACGGCTGTTATTATAGTAATGTTTTTCATAATGTGGCGAATGTTGTGTCTGTTGGTTAATCTCACGCTTTCTACGACCGAATGACTTGCCATTGGCTTCACCGGTACCACCCGTCCGGGTGCCGGCGTAACTGCAGTCGACTGGTTCACAGTCCTGTAGACAAAACTGGACGTTCACTTGAAAGCGTACGACCACATCGTCGGCAAACTTGAAGGCATCAAATTTTCCTACTAATGTCTTACTATTGGCCACCCGTTGAAGAGACGGAAATATTTTAGTGTCTACTGGACAGCCGTTCGAGTCGATCAATGTAATTGTTTCATCTGTTTTGCCCGATTTGGCCAACAAATCGCGTGCGAATATACCGAAAACTGTGTCGTCGTCCAACTCTATTCTTAGATATAGTTCATCACCCAATCGGGCGCCGGTTATGTCGACTCCTTGGGCATCAGTTATGCGTAACCGTATGTTAGGTGACTGTGCCGTTGCATTAACTATAGCTGTATCGGCTACCGACGGGCTATTTGATGAAAAAAATTGTTTGTTTTATGAGTTTATTGCCATTATTTTTTACACCAAAAAACAAAATCTAATTACACTTTAAGACCACTATAAAAATATTTTAGACTCTTTTTTATGATAATACATAAGAGATTTTTTATGGACTATTGTTTTATTGAATTGGAAAATAGCATTCATTGAAATTAGTTTTTAAATCCACAATTGATAGCAAATTGCATAAACCATTCAATGAACTTCATGCTAGTAGTTATGCAAAAATATAAGCAAAAATTGGTGATGAAATACATGTTTTAGTTTTTTATGCGTTGAAAGTAATTTTTTAGTAAGTTTTATGGCATTAAGTTTTATTGTCAAAAAATCTAAGACATTTATTTCTAGATTTCAAATATCTATTGTATATCAAATATATGGATATTTATGAATTTTGTTTTTTTTCTTTAAGAAAACCGTTAATAGGATTTTAAAAATGCTGTTTTAACGATAAGTTTTTGTGTTGAAATGTTTTTACGACTTTTTTTTCGTATATTTCATTTTGACTGATAATACTATTTGGTTATTACTATAACATTATTATTGTCTTTCGGCTTAAGTCACTAATTGTTTTGCTTTTCGCAACAAATTTATATACTAAAAGTTCATTAAAATTATCGTTTATTTATCTAAAATAAAACTGTGTTTTATTATTTTTTAAAAGTGAAGTTATTTAGCGATTATTTAATATACAAATAATCATAAAATTATAGTTAAGATCAGTGAAATTAATTATTTTTAAATTTTATATATTAAAGCGATATTGAAATTTGATTATCAGAGCCTTAATGACAGATCATTATTTTATAATTTATATTTTTTTTGGTTTTATCTACTATTATCTATATATCTATAAAGAAATTATAAATTTATTTTCATTTAAATGATTGATTTTACACGTCATTATCACAGTAATAGAAAATTATATAATAAAAACTATTTATTTAATTTATTTAATTTGACTATTTAGCGCTCACTTAATGCACATATTAAATATTTATATACAGTATAAATTATAATGTATAAGCTATTATAACAAAATATAATTACAGAGATTTATCAAAATTTATTAATAATTTAAATATCATTTGTCTTAACACTTGAAGAAACAATTTATATTACTGTAATGTTTTTAATAATTTCAGTGAATATATAAATGTTTTTTATTCAAATTGCAATATCTCTAAACACAAGTCCTAAAGCAATAGCAATGTCTGAATCGTTTTAATTAGTATTTTTCATACCTTTATATATACACACATTACGTTATATACTGTATATAAACCTGTGCTTCAAATAATTGGTTTGACTTTTGTTTAGTGTATAAGTTTTTTTAAATATAATTTTCGGTATACTATTTATAACAGTATAGTGACAGTAATGATTAGGGAATTGAAATTCATGAATGAATCTAAATTTTCAGTAAATATTCATAAAAATATATTTTTATATTATAAGATTTGACGAGAGAAAGAGAGAGAGAGAGAGAGAGAATCTGTTTCAGGAAATAATGACTAAAATTTTCTTTCACTTTTCAAAATACAGTACAACAATGTGTTTAAAATATATATTAATGTCTGTTTGTATTGTTATTATTTTGACACTTAAGAGAAACACAAAAGTACTTAAATTTTTTAAAGAGATATTTTGTGTGACATTTTTTCTCAAATATTAGTGAACAAAATTATACGATATCTTTTCAAATTTTCTGTGAAAATAAAAAATTGTTTTAATGTTTTTTTTAAAGGGAAAACACATTTTGTTGCACTTGTTGTTCAAAATATATCAATGATAGGTCTCATTATTTAAGTACTCTCTTACAGGTATATACTTGACTACACCTTATAGTAAAATGTTTTGTCGAGTTTATCATTATAATCAATAGTCCATACATGCAATAGACAAGAGAGTAATACATTATTTTTTATATAAACCGAAAAACAACTATTTGTTTGACTAGTATTAATATATGGGAATATTGTATTTGTTTGAACACTTACTCGGATACAACACTATATGAATTAGTGATAGTCTTGTTGATGGTCTCAAAATGACAGGTCAACTGAACCATTCGGTCACCTTTTCGTTGTATTAATGGATGATTTTGTATGACAACCAATGAGGAATATTTACCATTCTTTAAATGTATCCAAACATACAAATAGATATCAAAAAATAATTTAAATTATTTTTAAGCTATAGATAAACTTATAGTTTAAATAGATATTTCACAATATTTTTTTCCATTTCATGATAGAAATTGTCTCTTTTTTGTAAAAAAATTACTGATAATTTTTAGCGTGATTTTTGTGTTGTTCAAAATAATTTTAAATGATTTTAAAATGTTAATTACTATAAGTTTTTTAAATAATTTATGACTAACACTGTATCTAGTGTTTTATAATTTGTTTATACTATATTTGTATATTTCCGGGTATTTTTTTGAATGTCATAGTGTCTGCAAATATATATTTAATATATTTATTATATCATATATGATTATTATACAAATATATAATTGCATGCGATATCATTGGTTGAGTTATTATTATTTTCATTAACTGTATCTTTATATAGCGGTATAACTTAAAAAATCATTTATCAATTGGCAAATTGATTGCATGAGTCTATATCTGATAATTATTTTGATTCATAGATACTTAATGTAGTATATTAGTGTATTTTATAGAGTATAATTAAAAATCAATCAATTTTTACATCTAGTGAAGCTCTCTCTCTCTCTCTCTCTCTCTCTCTCTCTCTCTCTCTCTCTTTCTTTCTYTCTYTCTYTCTTTCTCTCAACTTTCGTAAAAACATTTAGATATTTAATAGTGATAAATATGTCTATCTTTTGGACAATCTATGAATAGAAATGAATGTTAAAAATTTTGATATTTTATAAATTAATATTTATACACTATCTAAAATATTTACTATTTAGTATAACATTATAACCTAAGCTTTGTTTATTGGGTAACTCTATACACTATAATATATATATATATATATATTAATAGAATTTTCATTAAATTACATTTTATGGTCAATTTATGAATTTTGTTATAATAAAAAAAACTATACAATGTTTTGTTATATTATAACATTAAGATTGATTTTGTGTTCATTTAGTTGTCAATTATTTTGAATGTATATGTTTTGTGATGTATTATAATCCATATAAGACATGATATGTTCATAACTTACATCCTCACGAATACCACAGGAGGACCGGGGGCTGAACGGCATTGTTAACAGTGTGTTAGTTGTCGATCGGCCGACACTCTCGCAGCTGATCGGCTCCTCCTTTGAGTATACTTTGCCATTGAATGGATCGGCAGTGTTGAGGGAGACAGTCATTGAGTCGTGATTACAGAATAATTGCACTGAAAATATAATACATATATTAAAAAAATACAATACTTATATAGATATTTGACATTAGGCTTTACTGATTAGTTTTTTCATATTTCTATATACAGTACAATACAAGTATGTAAAACATTATTAAACATAACTTTTTTGGTTTTGTTATTTTAAAACCCGAATACTATTATATGTGAATAAACTATAGATAAAATATAATCAATTCAATGTTTATATATCACTATAAATAATTGAAAAGTTTATAGTTTTGTATAAGAATAAATAAATTGAACTATATGTTTTTTAGCCATCTAAACATCAATAAATTACATTTTTAAACATTTTTTCAAAAAAAACATAAATAATATTTTAGTTATAAAGAGAAATGTGTGGTCTGTTTGTATGTTAATTTATATTCAATTTTATAAAATAAGTTACAGTAAATATAGTAATGTACTGCATAGACATACAATAGCGTATATAACTATTATATATAAACTATTTTTATTTTATTTTTTTGCTAACCATCAGATTTAACTTTACCTTAACATCAACTTATATCTTATTATTTATAAATATATTTAATATATTTCTATTATACATTAATTTATACATAATATACTGTACTTATAGTATGTGAGGTTTGCACACATTTATGTTGTGTAACATTAATTTTAAAAGTTTTTTCTAGACTATCAATTTATAGCTATGTTTAACACAGTGTATACTATTAGACATATATGAAAATTCATTAACTTTTACTTTTTTATATAATATTGCTCTTGAAATATATATATCATATAAATAATACAATAATATTCGTAAGTTTTTTTTTTGCTTTGTATTGTACTGAATATACTATTTTAAGTTATTTTTGTAATGAATTATCATTTATAGTTTATTGTATATTTTCTCATTCGTGTATTTTCTGATAATTGTAGAAAAAATCATATTTTATATTTTTTTTATAAAATTATTTTTAGTTTTTATTTCCCATTTTTTTGTTGTTACACTTTCTTAGCTTTTAGTTTATGATAACATTAGATGTGAAACGTTTTTGATAACAATAATAGTAATAATGATAATACTGTATATAATAAGATTTTACTCTCTATTTTAAAAGTTACGGTAAAATAAATTTTTGAGATAATTATAGCCAAACATGAAAAGTTGTATAATTGAGTTATGAGTGAAAAGACATTGTGTTATCAAATGTTATGTCAAGTGAGACATTACAGCACCGACACAACAGCACACTTACAGTCGAGACATGACGAGCGCTGATAGTAAATGGCACCGGAATGTGAATCCAGTGCCCGAACCCCTCCAATAGCGAGCGCATCGTCGCTACTCAGCCAACACTGGGCCGCCTGTTGTGAATATGTGAAGGAACGACACACGAAAGCACGGGTGGCATCACATAGACTGCGGCACTGGTCGGTCGAGAAAGCTGTGCGCACCAAATCGGCCCGTTTTATGTCAATATTGTCAAACTTATCGAAGTCACAACCGGGTGGTCCCGATGGTAGTGCCGCGCATTCGTTCTCGAAATAGTCGACCGAACCGGCGGACACTCGATATGCAGCCGGTTGTGAACGTCGGTCCTCCGACGATAGGCGACACTGTTGTAGGGCATAGTCGTATTCACCTAAAATTGTTATTACAATTAGTGGTTTAGTTGTTATAAATATTATGATATTAGGTTTGTTCAAAACTTACCGGATCTACAGTTAAATGAGCGCTCTTTAAGACATAATTCCTGACACCGGAGACGACTGGCCACTCCATTGAGTATTCTATCATCGAAACCACCCAATTCTTTACCCATAACCCTCTCGAAAGTCCAGGCCTTTTCACAAGGAGTGGCCGATAGACATATCTTTTCAAAGTAAGACGTCTTATCGGTTGTCGATACTATCGACGCCCCTCTATTGAGACTATCGTAGTCCATACCCGTGCAAAGGTGTTTGTCGTAGTTTATCAAAAATGCCCGACATTTAGGTCCAGCTCTGCATCTATTATTGCACTCAGCGGTCACTGGGGTGTCCTGTAGACCAGAATATAGAGGATATAGAGGTACACCTCTAACAGTAACCGATGATATTTTCTCGAAAGACATGGTCGTACCGGTGGGACATTGGGCTGGCATTCAATTGACATAAAAAAATATTTATTATCTTTTTTTTAAACTTATTATAATACTGTAGCTATTTTATAGCTATAAATCATAAAATATAAATGTTTAGCACTCTTTTATTTTAATATTAGTTTATCTATCAATTAAATTGAATTTATGTGAAAAACGTGAATTATTTCATACTTTAATCATTTAAGCAAATTACATAAATTAATTAGATTTATGGGATCTTATTAATCATGTTTACATTAATAATTAATTTATATATACAGTATGATTAACAAATTAAAAGCAATTTGCCAATATATTATAGCAAAATATTATATTAAATAATTTATTGATTTTTTTTAGTGATAAGTTATTGCATTATCATTAATTGTTAAGTAATAATATGCTCTCTCTCTCTCTCTCTCTCTTCTTTCTCTATTTTCTAGTTTTTATATTATATTTATGTTTTTTTATTTGTTTATCAGATGTACATCTCACAGATATATTACAGATTTATAGTTAAGATTATTATATAAAGAATATTATTACAGTGTAATATAATTTACATACAGTATATATTATATATAACATTTATAAACCGTTATTTTTTTTATAATGCCGGTAATCGTTATAAAAACAATCAATTTATTTAAATGCTAGATTATTATTTTGTTTATATATTATATATAAAATTGATAATCCATACATAGTTTGCATAACTTACAAATTGAAAAAACAAAAATTAATTTTTTATTGTGACATACCTTTAATATTATGGCCCATAGAAAACAAAAATAAAATGATGGATATATAGTATCCAATGTACGGAAGATTATTATAATAAATCATAATTGCTTCTCATAAACACAACTGGCCATTATATAATCAAAAAAATATGATAACTAATAATATTTTTTATTGTGGGAAATGATTTTAAAATGATTGATGTTTTCAAATTTTTTTTAAAAATAACAATTAAGTTTTAAACTATATAGTTAAACCAAATTGACCACAAAAGTACTTATATAAAACTATATTGAATATTTTTATACTTTTATCACACAATTTTAATGATCACCCAGGTAGCTCAATTGTTATTTCAATTGCACGCACAGTCACATAAAAAATTGTTTTCCAAAAATAATGGGTGGTCAAAGATGATCATTGAAGGGACTGTTAGATAAACTGTTTCAATAAAAAAAAACTTTTTACAAAGATTTAAAGTTACTTTAAATTTGTTGAATATATTGAAAACTTAAAAACTACTTCATAGTCGGGTACCGGCCCTGTGGCCTATGTGTCCTTTAGGTGGTTGTAGTGGTGATTCAAAAAATAGTTGACTACTTTATGCCGGCACTACAACTAAGTCACTGACTTAAAGCATAACTTTTCAATCGTGTTATATAACAACATAACAATTGATGGAAAGTGTCTGCAATTTTTTGAAAGAGACCACCGGTTTCTCACTAACTAACAGTGCATGCGTTCAAATAGTCAAACCTGTAGTATATTATACATGTATTTTATAATATTATAAATTACTGACTTTATTGCCATCTTTTAGTTTTAATATTTTGGTCAAAATATATCGTTTTAGTTGTTATTTTTTTGCATAATTAATAACTTATCACAACATTTTATTTATTATATATATTATTAACTAATTAATTTTTAAAAGTTTATTTATATTTTTTAAAATATTTTTTTAATTATCAATTTATATAAATATATAAAAATATTCTGATACCGGTATTTTGTAGTACTTTATACAGTATTAATTGGAAACTTATTGATACAATATTATTTAATATTAATATTATTTTCAATCTAAAATCATTATTGATGTTAATGTTAAATATGACAGTATTAAAAGATATCATTAATAGATAAGATATATTATGTTACATTATAATAATAATACTATTAACATATGTAAAAAATAATTATATTTTATTTAAGTTATATTAATAGATTGTATGAAAAATAACAACAAATAAATAAAGGATTTTTCCCGAAAAGACATTGAAATATACAGTATTGTTATGGATATTGAATATTGTTGACCAAATTATGATATATAAATTACTAAATACATAAATAAATAATATAATTATGATAATAATAATAACATAAAAATGAAAAAATAATATATATAGTAATTTACAAAATTATAAATTATAAAATAAATTAATAGCTTTTTACTTCCTTTTATTTTATATGAAATTTCATTAAAATCTATAAATATTTGATCCATTTTGGGACAAAACCTTTCTTATTATAAGTTATTAAATATTTTATGACTATAAGAGATAGTTTTATTTTTTGATTTTTATATTTATTTTATTAAGAATCTCTTATTTGAATTCAAAGAAATATTAACAAACACTACAAGATTTGCTATTGTTTTATAATTAAATTAAGTCAATCAAACACTTTAATATATAAATTTTATTTATTTTATTATTTAATACATTATTGTCATAAAATTAAATATTTATGACATGAGATTATAATATATTCAAAAATATAAAACTTTTTAAATATATTCACATTTTTTGGTCAGATTTAATCAGTGGACCCATCAGTGCTCTAACAGTCAGTTTGCGTTATACTGTATATCTTTTCACTAAATTTTTTATGTATAACACATACATAAGATTTTGGCTGAAATGCCTAAAAAGATTTTACTTGTTTTGTAAGTTTGTTGTTATTGTGATGACTGTTACTACTCATGGCTTATAAATTAAATAACAAATAAAAATAGTTTTTTTATGATATATTTTTTTGTATCTTCCGATCTATTGTTGGCGTTTTATGAGACAATCTTAGCGTAACTCAATCTATTGATGCGAAACACCCCTTATAGACAACTTTTAACGTAAACTTGAAAATGTTATATCAATATACATTTTTAAATTTAGTAATTTTTTTATTACTATTGTTTTTAGATAAATATACTTAATATTGAATACGAAAATCATATTAAGAAAACAATTTCAGATATCAATTTATATATATATATATATATATATATATATATATATATATGTACGGTAAATTATATATATATTTATAATATGTTCAATATTAAGTTAATATATGTTCAAAATATGTATCTATACAATAGATATAATATAATATAAATTTATTTACAATTTATATACAAAATATATTGATATTTTATATGATTTAGCATGCCGACTTTGAAAACTATCAAAATAAAAATATTTAAAAATATTATTTATTCAAACGTATAATATATTTTGTTTTATATAGCAATAAAAAAATATTAATATTATTACAATTGTAACTATAATTTATGTGAATTTATTTCTAATTTAGATTTTTGTTTTACTTTCAAAAATTACTTTTTAACATTTAATGGCAAATAGATTTTTGAATAAATTTAAAATAAATTTTTCAAGCTAGTGCATAATTATGATTATTATTAAATCAATTATTTTTATTATATTGCTTTTCAATTGATTTAATTTGATTTTAATGCTAAACCATAGCTATATATATATATATATATATATATATGTGTGTGTGTGTGTGTGTGAATGTCTGTATTTGTGTGGACATTATGTATATGAAAAATATTTAATAATAATTACATTTGAAAATAATATTTACTGGTTTTTAAATTTATACAATATTTCTTTTTATTGTATTATACTGTAATATCGCAACTCATTTTCACTGTTGTGTTAGGGTTTGGAAAGCTAACTGTTTTTTCCTAAGAGGACAACCAGTTTATCATTAACATTAAGTTTCATTAAAACATATAATTACAATTACATTTGTAAATAGCACTTACTGTTTATTTATTGAATTATACCTTATATTAAATATTATAATAAATAATAATATAAACAGGTATAGGAAGGGTATGTTTGCCGCTATATAGTGTGTGATCCCATACATAAAATTAGCATTGTTTTTCACACACACACACACACACACACACACATAGCAAAAAACTTTTCTTTGGATAGATTATAGACATTATTTGCATAGCAATGCATTTCAAACAATATATGAATTAAATTATAAAAAATTAAATTGTTTTTTATTTGTATATTTTGAAAAGTTTTTTGTCTTCACTTTAATTTTTGTTTTTGTTGTTATTAGTTATTGTATTAAAATATTTTTTGTTTTGTTTAATATTCTTTAAACTAAAATAAAAGTTTGTGTTTTGTTAATACAATTAAGCAAAATAACAATTCATTGACACTTTGATGAATAAGAGACACTTTAATACTTTGATTTAATAACTTTCTCTCATTTATAATACTAGTATTGACACTACTATTGACCTCTTTAAGAGACTTAACATGAATATCATATATTGTTTTATTGTGGGATTGGTATCTCTGAGACGTGATATCATATTATGACTATTCATTTTGCTTCAGTAGATAATACTTTCACTTTTTTGCGTCTCTTTGATGACATTACTATTATGTCACTGCTATGGATGGATGTATTATTAACCAAACATTTTTTATTAGTAATTTTATTGTTGATATAATAAAAAATAATATTTAGTGAAAGATTTTTTAAAGATATTTTACATAAAATTTTTAACAAATTGTTGTTAATCTTTACTCTTATTTACTTATTTTTATTGCAAATAATTTTACTGTAGGTTTTTGGCTTTTAAATTGTAATTGAATATATAGTTTATTAGATTTTTATAAATTGTATATTATCGTGTGCGAAAAATATCAATATATTTTATTTGTATATTTTCATTTTAATATTGATTGAAAAATATATTTATTATCGAGTATTTTTACGAACAATTTAAATTTTTTATTGTTTTCAAATATTATAAACTAAAATTATTTAATGCAATTTTATAGAAATATATATATATATATATATTAAATTGTTACTTTGATATTATTTTTCATTTTTAAATTAATAAATAATAACTAATAATTATTATATAATATTAGTTTTATTATTATTATTATCATCAATGTATTTCTGCAATATTTTTTCTCAAGTATTTATTTAAAATGAAAATCAATATATATTATGGTCTCTCTATTTCTATCTATCTTATATATATATATACAGTATATATAATTTTTTGGCTTTCATTCAATCATTTACTACTACTGGCAATAAATTGAGAGGTGAAGGACCATAAACTACTTGTCCGGCATCTAAAACATTGCTTTTATTTAATACATACATTATATGATATTCAGTATACCTGAAGTAACTAATAAGATTTTGTGTACGTATGTGTGTGTGTGTGTGTGTGTGTGTGAGTGTGTGTCTACTCATTTTTGTCTATGAAAAAAGCAGTGCATAACTAATAATTAGCTACCTGTGCAACTCTACACAACCCGATCTTTTATGATCTTTTATATTTAAAAGATGTGTGTACTGTATGTATGTATGTGTGTGTGTTTGTATCTATGATGTGATGCCATAATTGTGTGTTTGAAAGCCATGGCATCGGAAATGATGGCCATTTGACTCTTCAAACCTAACATTATATTTTATATATGTTTATATATGAATAGAGATAAAAGAAAACTATTACCCAAACATTTATATTATTTTTATTTTTATAAAAAAAACTTATAATTCATTGTATTCAATATGTTTTGAATGTATGGATATATTTTTGGATATACTATATTCTAAATGCCATTTATAATATAACCCTAAAAACATTTTCTTTAAAAACCATAATTACTTTAATAAGTGATATTTTTACAGATTATATAAATATTCACGTAATCTAAATGTAAACTATAAATTGTTGCATATATTTTTATTTTCTTCTATATTTTATGTAATTTATTATTATGTAATAATTAAAAACTTAAAAAATTATTTGATTATAACTTTTTAAAAATTATATCACAATTTCCTCGTTTTTACTACTTAATTATTGGATTAATTTTTGTATTTACATTTTTAAAAATATTTATTAGTAAATATATTATTTAAATAATAATATATATGTTATATATTTGTCATTTTAACCATTAAATTGCATTAAATTTTAAGCGCTTTTTTCTTTAAAAAAATTCATAATATTAACTATACTTTAAAATATAATTTGTTGAACTTTTCTTATCCATCAAAAAACAACAACAAACCGTTAGATTAGATACTTTTTGATGAGATATTCAATTGATATCGACTGTTGAGGTCATTAGTGGTTATATTCATATCATTTTCACTACAAAATAATAAAAACTTGTTTTTTCATTCAATAGCCTCAAACACTTATTTTTTCATTGATTATAAAATCAATATAAACATCAAAACATTTATTTAAAACAAAAATCAAAATTAATTAGAATTTTATTAATATTAAAGTGATTTTGAAAGCAATGAAACAGATTTACATTAATTGTAGAAAAGTTTACCAATAAATATATATTTTTGTTTAATTGTTTAAATTTGAATTTTAAATAATGTTGCGTTGATAAAGTTTATCGCTTTATCGTATCTACAGTACATTTGAGATAATCTAATCAATTATAGCCCATCAATGATAATAATAATAAATTGATAAAATAAATATAATAACAAATCAACTGTATATTTCAAAAAAATGTTTTATTTTTTTATTTATTAAATTTATAAATCTATTTACGAATTAAACAATTAACTATATTACTGGATATAATGGTTACATAAAAGTTATAACTGTTTTTATTAAATGTTTGAGCAATGCTTTCAAATTCCGGTATTATTTTTAATTGATATGTGATTTAAAATGAATTGAATTATATATTTTTCAAAGTTTTTGTTATTTTATTTAATAAAATATTTTTTTAAATTTATTTTGGAGATTATAGTTTCATTGCATTATAAAAACGCATTTCCACTATGTTTTGCATATTATTAAAATTTATTTATTTAAAAAACATCTTTAACTTAGAAATTTATAATTTATTTGGTATTTACATTTTATATAATATAATTTATCATATATATTATTAATTTTGTCAAATATTATAGATTTGGAATTTATTTTAAAATTTTGGTTTTTAATAATCGCATATAATTTATATGTTGATTTATATATAATATATTTTTAGATAAATTAGTTTAGTTTAATATTTTATTTGTATTAATGTTTGCTAATATCTATAAAATTGACCTTAATCTAATTTTAAAAAATATATAAATAATGATATAAAGTATAACTTTTTTAATATGATTTTTTATCAATTCATAAACTTTTAGCTAAAATATCTATACTTTAACTATAACGTTATAATATTATTAGTTTATAAGTTTTGTAACTTTATATTGTTTTTAATTTTGTTAATAATAACTTGTTTTATTTAGCACTATCTTGATGACTGATATTAAAAACAACTTTAATTACTATTATTATTTTCCAAAATATAAATACTCTATATTTGACATAACATTTTTTATTATTTACTATACAATATGATAAATTTTTATTTTGTATATAAATTTTAATCTATATAAACTAGCAGTTCAAGTACAATATATTTACACTTAATTTAAAATAAATTATCTTAAATGTTTTTATAAAATATTATTTAAATTATTAGTAAATGTAATTTGCTTGTTATTTTTAAAGTATATATGAATAATCATTAAATAGACAAAAATACTAATAATTATTGTGTTTAATATATATTTAATATATACTTATACTTTATATACATGATATCACTGTATAAACTTTATTTGTCTAATAGTTTTAATAACAACTTGAAAACAACTTTTTATATATATGTTTGAGAATCATTAAGTATTTTCTTATTTTATTGAATTTATTAAATTTATTATTATGTATTAATACATACAATTTCAAGGCTTTATATCATAAACTGAGTCCATAACTACTAAAAGTAAAACTGTTAAGCCTTTTCTATTTACTATTGCTAACTAATGACTTAATGTTTAGTTTTTCCCAAAACAGTATAATTAAGTGTTTATTTTTAATGAATACCAATTGAATGAGTTATACATTTTCAGATATTAGCTGAAATTTTCGCACAAATTATTAATAATTCAAAAAAACAAAATTTTTATTTTTCACTGATTTTATTACAACTAGTAAACGACAACTAATGAGAGATAACAATCATTTAAAATTTCTGTTAACTTATATAATAATTTGTTTTTAAAAACATTTATTTATACTAAATAAAGTATAAGTTAGTTATATTTGATATATTCAAATGATTTTCACGTATTATGACCGATAAATATTTTTTTTGGCAAAATAAATATATTTTGTGTGTGTTTTCATTACATATTAGTGTGACTTATTAACGAACCGGTTGTTATTATATGTGTGTATAAACCACTACTACTTTGGTCTCAGCATATGATCATAATTTTATGAGATGTCAAATAAAGTTTTTATTTTGCGTTAAAAATTAGTTTTTTGTGAAAAAATTGGATGTTTTATAATTATATACTGTATATGTGTATCGATGATATAAAAAAATAATATTATTATTGCACAGTTATGTATTGTATTGTTTTTAACCCCTTTCCTCAATAATCATAATAATAATATATTCTGTATAACTGTATGGCTGACAGATTGTGTACCGGAAGGAAAGTCCTGTTATTTTTGTGATTAATTATTACAATAATTTGTTTTTATTTAATACATAAAAATTATATATTTCTTCTCCATTTTAATCTTTATTTTTGGTGTAAAAAATTAATTTTTAAGATTTTTTTATTGTGTGTGTGTTTTAAAGCTATGTCTAACAAAAACCCAAAAAGTAATTATAATTTTTGTTGTTGTGAATTATTAATTAAATATTGTATTATAGTTTTACTAAAAATAGCAATAATTATTATGTTTTTGATATTATCATAATTTTAATAACTTGTTTTTAAAAATATTAATAATTTTTTTTCTATTTTAAAAAATACCTCATTTTTCAATAGTTTTTTACATTTACCGGATATTTACCGACAAAATGTTTGACACGTCGGCCAACAAATATCTATCTAATGATGAAAGATCTGTTGACAGCGAAAACATAGAGATGTGTAGCCGTGAGGACGTACTGGTTCTCAATCCCAGTCAAAGACAACAAACACAGAGGAATGTCCTAAACATGACTTTATTGTCACTTCTATTACTATTAATAATATCAGTGTCAGTGATAACTCTAATGAAGTTTACATATAAGTCAGTCAATGTCCACATTACTGAACCTCAAGTCAGCGACGATTACATTGATTTGATATTTAATGCAAATAATGTGTCTACAAGTGCTCAGTGTCTAAATATTAAGCTAAACAATCGTACCGACTGTAATCCGGACGAACCCACCATTACTAAAGAGGTATGCATTAAAAAAGGCTGTTGTTGGTCACCAACGATGACTCACAGACAACACCACCGAAGAAGTAATAATCCATTGATAAACAATACTAGTAGTGATGGTCTAAAATCACTAATAGCTGTTCCCAATTGTTATCATCCTATAAATGTTAATAATGACAAATAGTCAAATAAAAAATATCTCGCATTTTTTTTTTAAATTACTGGTAATCATTCAAAATGATTACTTAGCTGTGAATACCTTAAAATTTGTTACTAAGTATTGAGTTAATTATAATTTTATTATTCAAAATTATTTTTGAAATTATTTTTACAATTAATAAATATTAATTGTTTTTTTTTGTTATTTGTTGATTGAAACAATCAATAATAAAATATTAATAATGACACTAATGTTAAAGATTTCTAAATTTATTTTGGTTTATGTTATCATATTTTTTGTATGTAATTATTATTATTAAAAGTATGACTAATCAGTTAGAAAATTAATTTTGACAACACCTATAAAATTTATCGTTTAATTAATCAATTTTTATTATAATTATAAATTTATATACAGTACATATATGATACTATAATAATTACCGGTAACTAGTATTACTAAATGCTTAGTAATTAAATGAAAGCAATATTAATATCAATTTTTATATAACATTTAATTAAAGTTGTATTATTATTATTAAGGTATTTAATCACAATTAATAATGAATGTAATTAAATAATTTTTATTAACAAATCAGTTATAATCACATTTATTAGTTCAATGCTTTGTCCGATATGGACAGTGAGTGGGTCGGGTGCGACCCAATCGTTTTGTCATCAAAGTGGGCGCACACCCGACTCCCTCACACACAAAAAAAACAAATTTAGAGTAGTCTATAAACATAAAATCGATAGGTATTTAATAACAGTTGATCCCATATATTTGTTAATTTATTCAAAGTTTAATAAATGTTTGTATCAATTAGACATTTATGTCAATTATCTGATTAAAAAATATTAAACAAATAAAAATATCAATTATAAAACATTAACAGTAAATCTAAAATATATTTAAAAATAATATGAATATTAGTATTGATAATTCATATGACAAATGTTTAATTAAATTACATTTTAACAATAATGATATATCAGTCAACATTTGATAACTGTTTGGTCATAAATGGCTTAACTTTGATCACTTCGACAACATTGGTCTCGATGTCGAACCACGAAGTGATGTGAATGCTGTCAATAGTAAAATAATATAACCGATCGACACATTTGTTGCGCCGATAAACAGATCGCGGATCAGCTCTTAAGAGGTTTGTTATGGCATCTCTTAACTCAATAGGTTTCAGATATTTAAGACAATAGTCACACAGATTTTTTTCAACTCTGGTGTGAAAATTTTGCAATTGTTTTAAACTCTTTTCGGTAAATTCAACGCTAACTTCACTGACAACACTGCCATCAATCCAGTCATTTGGTAACGAATTATTGTCAAACTGTTGCAATTCATTGGAAACTCTTTGAGTGGTAACTTCATTATCATTATTCAGTACAACTAAAGATTCTAAATCACCACTAATACTGTCACTACTAGTTTCACTACTTGTAAGGCATCGGTCGATGTTGGCCGGCATCGGTAGACAGTCGGGTGAATCATATTGTTTGATATACGGCTTAATGTCCAGAATAGGTGTTCCGTCCAATAAATCAATTCCAGAAACATATAGTTTGCCATCTTTTAGATAATACACAAATAATTATTATTAAATACTTGTGAATAAAACTATAAACTGATACAAACCTCTAACGTCTTCGAGTTTGACGAGTGATAGGCCTATTGGGTTCGGTCTGTGCGGCGATCGCGAGGCAAATACACCGCACGACTGACCGTTAAGTCTCGGCGGACGTACTTTTGATGGACACCTCTTGTTTGTGTTCATATGGAAATAGTAGAGAACCCTTCAGTGAAAAAGATAATGATTTAGTGGTAATAAGTGATTGAATGCTTGTATGCAATGAATCAAATGGTGAGATACCAGATGTGAGTGAAGTCTTGAATGCCGATCAAAGAGTGCATCGGATTATTGAAAAGACATTTATTTAAATCAATACATCCTTTGCTTTGCGGACATATCGCCGACTGTCGAGGCGTTCCGTTCTTCTTATTGAAAACCGATTCCATAAAACCGATTGCTTGAAGACATTGATCCAGTCGTGTCGGTTGCGCCGATGAACAACTGTTGGCCATATTGTCCATACAATTAGGTATAACCGACGGCTAAAAAGTGGTCTAATATTGTCAACAATTATTGTAGAGTTAATACAAAAGTGATTGTATTGAACACACTATACATACAGTGGGCGACACTGTCTTCACTATAAACATGTGTTTATTGTTTTGATTCAAACATACAATTGATTTCAAACTATAATTTTATTTATGAATCAATCAATCAATTGATTTATTTCTAGTGTTTATATGTTTGACATTTGATTGACATAAAAGTCATGTTAACTGATGTCGTGTATCGGTGTTTACATTGTTCGCACCGACGGCGCCAATTGTGGCCACTAATCAGCTTATTTGGTCGCATTCGACGGCCCGTAAACAGCGATAATTTGGTGACCAATCGATTTGTTCACCGAAGCACTGACTGTTTTAATGTCAAACCAAGCGATGGACAATCTTCCGCCGGTCACAAACCCGAAGTATCCGATGAACAACCAATTAAATACACGTCAAGCGATGCTCACCTCAAACACAAGGCATATATGAACTTTCGTCTGTCCGATGAAGAGATGAATGACATCCTGTGGTATGAAAGACCTATTTTGATGATATCTGCGGTCATATTCTTGATATACTTTGCATATCTTCGAGAACCCAACGATATCGACGAAAAAATGGGTCGACCATTGTTTGAGGTGATGCCACAGTTAGAGGTACCGATGATTGAGTCGGCTATTGGTAACGCTGAACGTATGGGTGCAGACACTAAACAACTGATGAAAAGGTTAGATGAACTCAAAGAACTTAGACAACAGATCGACAAACTCGACAAACAGTCAACAAAATAAATGATAGGTTTATAACACAATTAGCATAAAAATAGTAATTTTTATTAATTTAATAAAACGTTAATTTATTTATTAATTATATTAAATTGAAATGAATTATTTGGTATTTTGTTGGATCCAATCCATGTGATGCTTGACTCGTGTATAAATGCCTGACAATTGATAATAACATTAATTGTAATTATTTTAATATTTGAGTTTATGTTTTGAGAAATACCTGGAAATCCTGGTTCAGCGCACTTGTAGCCAAAAGAGACGATTCCCATTTCATACCACTGGTCATCGATGGCCATCGCCAATGGACCGCCGCTATCGCCCTGACACGAGTCTTTACCACCACCTATAATACCGGCGCACATTAGCAGATGATTAATGCCATTAGGAAATCCATTTTGAAGACCATTAAGTTGTGTGTAATTTCGATGGCAGTCCTTGTTGTCTATGATGTTGACATTGACTTCTCTTAATTCATCACTCACTGGACCACCGAATCGAGTGGCACCCCATCCGACCAGTTTAGTAGGCCTTCCTATAAATTCTTCAAATTTTGCAAACTTTGAACCAATCGGCAAACAAATGGGACCAACTGTTGGCAAAAATTCAATCTTATGTCTGACTTTAAGTAATGCAATGTCATTGTAGTGTTGCATTGAACTGTAATCTTTGTGGACATTTATGTGAGACAACTCAATGAATGCAATTTTTGGATCAGAGAGTCGGTGTGCGCCCACTTTGATGACAAAACGATTGGGTCGTATCCGTCCCACTCCCTGACCATAGCGGACAAAACAATGAGCGGCAGATAATATATAGTGTTCATTGATGATGGTTCCGCCACATATGAAACGGGGCCTATTGTCATAACCCTGTCGTTCATATATTGACACAATCCATGGCCAGGTATTGGGCTGTGAGCTTATTCCTGATGATTATTAATGATAAATATATCATATAAAAGAGTCTTAAAGGCTTAGTTACCTCCAACTATGGCTGCAATGTTCGGTCTTTTACCACAATCTTTACGAACATAATTTAAGAGTCAAATAGTAATAATAATAATACGGTATTATTAAAAAATATGAATTAATTATGAAAATAAATACCAAATTTTTTGTTAGGACTGGGAGTTGTAGTAGAAGTAGTAGTAGTAGTGGTAATATTAGTGGTTTCAGTGGACAGACTTATTTGATTTGTTTCATCTTTGAACGGACAACATATTGACAAGAATTTTACTTCTTTTGTGTCTTTATTTTGTCGGCATTTGACAACAGATTCCGATTCAATGTCCATAATATTCATTGTTTTGCACGGATTCAGTGCATGAATCTGACAGAAACCAGGATTTTTCAGTTTAGTATAGCACTCGACTTTGCATAGGTTTTCACGGCTAGAGTCGACATCCGAACCGTTACCCGAAGCTACTATCGACCCATTTATTAGTTTATGGTCGCAAACCACATACTCATCCTCCGATGTATTATTGATATTTCTGGCAAATATATTCACTGAAAAACTTGAATGAATAATAATTGTAATTAGTATACAATAATTGAAAAAAATATTTGATAACATTATCACATAAGATATTTTTGTTTTCAAAAAAATACAAATATAAAACAGAAATTTAATAAAATAAATCTATTATTGGACTGTCGTTTATTTTTATATGCAATTTATTTATTTAATTTTATACATTATTATTAATCGTGATTAGAGGACATCTGCCAAAAAAAATTCGTGACCAATGATAACGATGTCATTATCAGTCATATGTTTGAAATATTTTTTTGATGATCAAAATTAGGACAATTGTTAAACGAAACGATTAATTTTACCAAAAAAATAAATAATATGTTTTGTTTAAATGTTGAGAGAATATTCTGTAAAAATTCTATTATTTTTAAAAATAAGATAGACATGTTTTATAAATAAAATTAAAATTTTTATTACTAATATTTATTATATCAATATCAATGTATTAAATATATATTATTTTAAAATATGAAAACGTGTACAAATGATGAAATCAAAAAACAAATCTTATTAATCAATTATGTATAACAATACTATAATATGTAATATAATAATTAGGCAAATATTTTAATAAATATACATTAGGCAAATGTGTGTAAAAAATCTTAATAATTTAATAATCAAAATGTATTAATTCATATGTTTGAATAAGATTTTACAAAAAGTATGATTAATAGTTGTTTATATAAAATTTTTATGTAGGTGTTTGTGATTATGTTTTACATTAATAATAATAATAATAAACAAAACATTTAAAAAAAAGATAACAACATAAATTTATCATCACTTAAATTATTATAAATTCTTATATTACTAACAAAATTAATTTCTCGTTTTCAATATAAACAACTACTTTATTTCATCTAAAAAAATAAACATTACTTAAACATAATATACAGTATATGGTATTTATTAAAATTAATAAATATATATAATTTTTTCGCATATACTGAATATATGCTCTAAAATAATTGATAGCTTAACAAGAAAATTGCAATCTTTAATTTCAAATCATAAATCACATATAATTTGTGTTAATATAGAATATATGTTTTCAATTAAAGATTTAATTAGATTACAAATAATATATATTAAACAAATTTAATGAATTCAGATCTAAGTCATCATTTAAATGACTTTGAAAAAAATCCTACTCAATTAATATAATGAAATTCAATTTTTATGTTTTTAAAAACTGAATTTTAAATTTAATTTATAATAATAACTGTTAAAATCATCTGAATTGTACATTTATAATGTTTCAAAATATATATATATTAAACAAAACAACAATGAAATAACAAAAAACCATTTTCTGTGAAATTGATATTAAAACAGAATATCATTTTTTATTCTTATTATATCACATGATATATCATATGAATATTTTTTTGATTGTTTTAGATTTATTTAAAACTAAATATAAATTTTTTGTTTGTTTGTTTGAGTGCTTATTTCAAAAAGTAGTGATTTTCAATATAAATATTATTTAATGATTTTACCGTATAATTTGGTAAAAAATATTAGTTAAACTATAATAAAAATTCGTTTATTTCATACCTTATTTTATCAGTTAGTATTTATAATTTAAAAATGTTATCTAATTAGACAAAAATTAGAAAATTAAATGCTAGCTAATAATTTTCGAAAAAAATGCTAAATTTTGTTTTAAAATAAAACATTAATTAAAAAAAACAAAAATAAATTGCCAATAAATTGAAGGTCAAAATTATTGGCACAAAATGTAGTCCACATATTTTTTTCTAGAAATAATGATACAAAAAATGCATACATTATTGCTAACAAATGTACGGAAAATTACCAATAAATATACCAAATAATTACGGTAACATTGAGAGCATCACTAATAACAAGAGCTATAATAACTCTCATTTCAAATAGTTTTTTATTTTTAAAAATATAACAAACATTGTTATTGACATAATATCAATATATTTTTTAATAATATAAAAGTTATTAAAATCTGGTATATTAGTCTATCAATTATTTCAACTATATAAACAATTTATATATAGTTTTTTAATTATTATTATTAATAATAATAAACAAAATATAATATAAATAAATTCATTAGTTAATTGCAAGTGAATTGCAACACATACTAAATTTATATGTGATATTTTTAACATAATAACAAATATTATTGGAATTGACTGAACATAAAAAACACATTTATAAAGAATATTCTGTATTATAAAAACTAAAAACAAAAATGCATTATATTTTATATATAAAATTTACAACAATATCATTAATGCATTAACTTTATTTATAATAATAATAATAATGAAATGAATAATTCTAATCATAATAAACTTAATTTAATAAAATGAGTAATTTTTTTAATAATGTAAATGGCTGTGAGTTTTATTAATTAAATTAAATGACTAACAAATTAATTTCTTTAGAAAATAATATAATACTGTTTTTGATTTTCTATTATTAAATAATTCATTCATTACTAGTTGTAAAATAGCTGTCCATTACTTTATTATATATACCATATCTAATACACTTATTGTGTTATAAAATAATTATTACTTCAAATATAAGCAATTTTATTAGGTTTTTATATAGGAAAGCACTTTGAAATTTATAGCATAGACCATAACATTGTCATATCTATCATAAAATACTGTCTCCTATTTCTTTATAAAACTAATAGATATAAACATTTCGTTACAATTTTCATAAAATATATTACTCTTTAAATGCCAACAAAACATTGCATTACTATATAAAATATATTATACTGTTTTATTTGTATGTCAAACGCGATATGCCTATACTTTTCCGATTAAAATCATTTAGTCTTAAAACATCACATATCCGGATATATTTTTAACTACCGGTGCGTTTTAGGCCATAAATTTATATAATATAAGGAAATAGTTGTATATATTTTTTATTAAAAATTTTTGTGAAATTCGTTGTTTTTATATATCATATTAAATAATAAGCAAATCAATGGATATTTTAAAGATAAATTTGTGATAATTGAACTCAAAGTAATAATATATTTGTTATAAAAAGATCTTTTGGTCCAAAAATGTAGCAATTAATACATTAATAATCTATTGTTTTAAAATAGTATGATAAGTATAGTTTATAATAGTAATTATATTATCAAAGATTTATCAAAAATATAACAAAAATGAATACTCAAGTTATAATAATAATAATAAATATAAAACTTAATTAGAAAAATTACTAATTATTACAATTAATTGGCTATAAAAACAAAATAATAATAATAAGTACTGCTATTATAGTTAAATAATAATAAATTATTAAATCACAAAATGATTATACTGTACAATAATAATAATAGTTAATTCATTTAATTAATAATTGATAAACAAGTAAATAAATAATTATTATTACTATTATCGTCAAAAACGATTGTTAAGAGATTTTGGCATAAAAAGGAAGTTTTAAATGTTGCAAAAAATAAAAACAAATCAAACTTGAATTTTTGATTATTTGTAATCAATTGATTCATTTTTGCGGTGCATAGAGCTATTGCCACCGTATATAGTGATACCGCGCCACGAGATATAGCCGCCCAATCGTGAGTCGCGGCGCTCCCGACGCCAACTCGAGTGTCGTTTTTTAAGGCGACCACCGGCCGAGACATCCGTTTTGGGCGGAAAGCGACCGTATTGGTAGATAAGTGTAAAAAATAACACAAAACCTATAAAAAATTCAATTATTAGTCTTCAATAAACTAATAAAATAATAATAGTGAAAAACATTTATTAAATATAATTAAATAATAATTAAGTACTTAATAAAAAATATTAATAATAGATAAAAACTTTTACAATATATTGTATAATATTTTAAATTGTAAATATTTAAAAGACAGACAAACAGCAACATTGAAAAACAATTAAAAGTATTGAGGTTTTCATACCGGCTGCTATTGGAAGGAAAGCCATGGCCTTAATGAACCCGGGATAACCCAAATAGCGGCTATTAATTATTAAATCGCCGTCTTTTAACGTTTGGTTTGTTTCGGGATCATAGGTTGAGGAACGGGTCGTATAGTTCCATAGCGAACGATTGCCAGTCGTCAGGATGTCTACATCAAGAACCGTATAAACCTTGTGATCAATTGGGTCAACGTATTGGCCGTAATCGGGCGGATAGTATATGATTTGATTCTTCCACATATTCAGATCCAACATCATTACACCGACAATAATACCATAATTAAACCATTTGCCTACAGGTGCCAAATAATTGTGTTTTATTTTAAAATAATTGTTATAATCAAATTAATGTGTTTTTGTTTATATGTATAATGTATTTATATAGTATCTATGCTTTTAATAAAATAAATTGCTTTTAAATTAATAAAAACAATATACAATTCATGTGTTTTTACAATAAAAATTTTCTTTTAAAAGTCAAAATAAATAAACAAAAATAGAAAATTCCTTAAATGCTTAACACAAGTGTATAAACTATTTACTGCACTAAAAACTACTACATATATAAATAAAAATAATTGACATTAAATCACAAGTGCTGGTTAGGTATGAGTTAATGATAAATACCAGTGATATGGAAGACCACTTCAGGAAACTTAACCGACTTTTTGAAGAACTTTAACGAATAGGAAGACTGTAGTAAACCGGGAAGTTTGATGTTTAGATCGCATACAAAGTGAGGAAAGTCCCAGTCCTGTGCATAATGTAAACAACAATTATAATTATTATTAATTATTATTTAGTTATTATTAATTTTTACTTTTTTTTAATTTATATTATATTTTTAATTAATAAGTGTTATTTAATTTTATTTTCCCCATCAAATTATTTGTATAAATAATTATAGTAACTAATAGAAAATATTAAATTATAGATTCACATTGATTTTTAAAAATACAAACTACAAAAGCTAATGTAAATTTTGTTTTATAAACTAAAATGCATTGAAACAAAACATATCTCTCATCCATCATTCATAACTACCATATCCTATGATAAATGTCTTAAATCTCAACTCCCTTTCCACTCAAATAATTGTTAGACAATATAGTCGTTGTTGTTTTATGAAACCATCAGACGATTAAGTCATTTATCAATAAACAGTAAAAACATTTAAATAGAAAGCATTCAATCATTCAAGTTATTCCCAAGTTTGGAACTACAGTTTTATCTACCGTTCCTTTTAATACTAATAATAATTTTGTGGCTCAAATGCTGACATATAACTTATGAACTTTTCATAATTTAGTCAACGAGTTGGCAATTATGGTGAAAATGTTGACAAATGATTACCTGCATAACAAGCAATAGATCCATAACTAGTATAGAAGAGGCCAGGAAAGCCCGGGACAGTTCAGTACTGGCAATAAAATCTCTGTTAAGGTTATCCCACGAAATCTTATCGGTTACTATCAGTGTGATTACGACTGCTGCGATCACCAGAGCGCCCGACCAGAACACCAATATACGAGTTGTCGTGTGTTTGTGCCAAAAGGTGCGCAAATTTTGTGCCCAACCTAACAGTGCAGTTGTTATCATAAAAAGTATTTTTAGTCACTTAAATACAAAATAATATTTTAATAGCATTAAATGAAAAAAAAACACATTAAATATGCATTTTATTTTAATGGTATTTTTTGTATTAGTTTAAACTAATAAATATTTGTATTAAATATTAATATTCGCATTAAGATTATCGAAATAAAAACATTATGTTTTAAATTAAATGATTGAAAGCATTTTTAACTGACAAAAATGCTAACATTGACTTCGATCCAAAAAATAAATTATTATTTATTATGTTTTAATATACTTAACATTATAAATAATATAGACTGACTTTATTATATGAAAATTTAACGTATTTAACACAAACACTTTTAATAATCTACGGTATATTAATACTAATATTTTTACCGTATATTTGATTTCAATTAAACAAATTAAACAAAAACAAACAAAACTAAGTCAACTAAACAAACTCAAAGATAATATTAATTAACTAAGTGTCTCAAAAATAGTCAATAATATTGTAAACACTGTTTACTAATTGAATAACTTATATTAATAATAAAACAAAGAGTATTACCGATAATGCAAACAAACTGATAGCTTATCAAACAAACAAATATATATATATAATATTTATAAGCAATAAAATTAAATATTTAGCTAACCTGGATATAGGTTGTCTTGTAACATCATATCTGTGATCATCCAGGCAGTGAAAAAGTCGCCCAACCACGTGCCACAAGCAGCCACTTTCATGAAGTTGGCGTATGTCATACCCATATAAGTGTTTATCACATAGAGGTGGGCCCTAGGATGGGCCCATACCAGTAGACAGTTATAGGCAATGGAGAAAAAGTAACACGAAATAAAAACAGTGGCAAACATGATCATCCATGTGCCGCACTCGTCACGAAACATCTTGAGCCGTAACACTAGCCTCAAGATTATGTGGTGAAGTATGTATTTGCCAAAGACTAGACCCACGGCTATGGCTGTGAGCCAGAAGCTCACCTTCACTACGATCCAGTGAGGTTCGGGCGGATACTTAGTGGCCACAAATGATATCACGTTTCCTAATACCGGTATCGAGCACTCCATCAACGAGTGTGAAAGCGGATCCTCAGCGAAGATCAAAAAATTACAAAACACGACAAAATATGCAACAAAAAGTCGGGCGTACGGGTGCTGGAAATAATACCTGAGACACGGAATCAGGGATTATAAAAAAAGTAAATTAGCAAAAAAAAAAATAATGACATAAATATTTGAATTCATTAATTTTTGAAAATTTTAATAAATTGAACATTAAACAGAAGTATATTTTGAAAGCAATCTTTGTGCCAAAAATATCATATACTTTAGGATTATTTACTAATTTAAATGTAAATTATATTTTTCAATGAGTTGTCAAATATTTGTCTTTGAATAACATTTTCATTTGTAGTGTTTTTCAAATATTCAGATAAATATTTGAAACAATTAAAATCACTGTACTATCAACTATCGACTAATCAACAATTAGTTTTTATGTTATTAAACATTTATAATATAAATAAATTCAGTTCTTTATATAATTCCGAATAAAATCTAATTTTGTATTTAAAAAGCATAAGAAAATACTGGTAGAGGACAGGGAGTTAAATAAACAATTATCAATAATAGTCACCTAAAATCCTTTTCCATATGTAATGAATATTGACTTAAATTATCTGAATTAGCATTGATGTGGTGTTGTGGCCGATGGCACAGGTATTGACTATAAGTATCATCACCACCACCACCACCTGAAGCAGCATTATTAGCAAATGTATTGTCATAATTATCACAATCGCTACAATAGTAGCTATTATTTGAAGTCTTGTTGTTTAACAAACACTTATTGGTTGAATTATCGAAGTTTTTATTCACAATTTGTCGATTATTTTGTTTTACGTCCAAATTAGTCAACAATTTATCACATTTGGCACAATATTTGGTGTATAGCCCGCCATGACTTTCTCTATTGTTGGTGTCGGTATCACCGGTTGTTGGCCACAGATCTGACTCGTCCTTCTCTTGACTCGGAGTTAATATTTGAACCGATTTTGTCCGACAACCGCATGAATTGTTTAGTGGTTTGAGTTGAGCCGTATCGCCGGCCACGAAGTCCAACGGAAGGCTCATTTGTTGGCCTGTAATTCATCGGATAATTATATATCTTATATATTTATACATCAATTTTTTGAAATCTTTTGATAATTTTTTCAAAAAATATCAATCAAATTGTAATTATTGTTTAACTAATTTCTATTAAATTACACCCTATTGTCATAATAGATAACTAATACCTAATTGTTATATAAACTGATATTAAATGCCATTTACACCAACGCTGATTGAGATAAAAACAATAAGGTGTGTCAGATAAGGGCTCAATTATATCTCGGGTTAAATAAAGGGGTGAACTTATTAAATAATAATCATAATGGCCATAGAGTACACATATCATATACATATACATTACGCCTACCGGTGCTATAAAAATATACAAACATTTGCCGTATATATTTAAATAAGATTATAAATTAAAACATTACTATAATAAGCACAGGAATTGACATTAAAATTAACACTAAAATAAACATTTGAAATATCGTTTTTGTTATATACAAAAAATTATTAGTTGTTTAACGAAATCAATTGACTGTAACTATAATTAAAATTGTGTCTAACGTTATATAACACGTAAACTAACGTTTTTCCCCTTACATCTACCTTTCCTTTAATAGGCCTTATCGAGGAAATCATAAAAATTGGTTATTAAAGAATGATGGGAACTGTTGTCTAATGTAATCAATTAATACTTTTAATACAATTTAAAAAATCATAAATAAATTTACAAAGTATCCCATTATTATAACACATATCATATATAGTATACTAATAAAAAAATATTAATAATCTCTTCGGTGGTCAATACCTGTAGAACAGGACCTCTTGTGATGGGAACTGGACTTCAATATTGAGTTTGGTTTCTGATTCGGTGTCTTCGCGGTCACCGATACAGGCATTAATGGTATCAATACTTCTCGATTACTATCGTCATCGTCGGACACCAATTGGTGGTTGTGTTKACCATTCAATGTTATGTCATTTGGTGTCGCCGTCGCCAACATCGACAAAGACTTTACTGTTTTGGTGTCAGTCGACGACAACCGATGTTGTCCTACACTGTCCTCTTGTATTGACATAATTGTTGATTAAGTACAACAACAACAACAACAACGATAGTAATAAATATAATACAAATTACACTAATTTTAAACTAAAATAAATTAAATTAAATAACAAATATTTTTGGTCACATTTTTTTACGCTTTTTGCCGAAAAATGCCATAAATATTATGATTACTATTAATATAATTATCGGTAATAATATTAAACACTTTAAATGTAATTTATTTATTATTTGTGAAATAATAATAAATTATTTAATAATTAAATTATAATTAAAATCAATAAAATATAATAATGTAATCAAAATAATAGCGTCAATGAAGTCATAGTTGTTGTGTTGTGTTATATATGACAACAAATAATACTAAATATAAAGTATTAATAATATTAATATACAGTACTATTGAACAGTGAGTCTCACAGTTCATACACACACACAGTCTCTCTAATGTTATGTGAATTCAAAATACAGTTTGTGTTGTGTTTTGTTGTTGTTGTGTATGTGTTGTCTGTTTTTGATAACACATTATACATGTATTTGTTGAGTAATATAATAATAAATTGTGGCAAACATTTGGCCCAACAATTCAATTGACTTCAAACAGCACTTACACTCACACATACATTACACCGACACTAATACATATCAATATAAATATATGATATGATATATCAGTGCCGACGCAATACATACAAACAATTTATAAATAAAAGCCATTTTTTCCAATAGATTTTCATTTGGTTTTATAAACAAAAAGTTTTTTTTGTTATTATTTTATTAATAATATAAAAAAAAATTTATAATATCATAAATTTTTTTTGTTTAATTATTTATGTTATATTATTTTGTGATATTTGTGTGTTAAATGTCCTTTTAATAATGCATGATAACCAAGGTTAACATACAATACATATTTGTATTGTAATATTATTATTATTTATTTACAAATTTGATTACTAGTTATTAATAGATAAACAAGTTTATTGAGATTTATAGCTAATTGTTTAATAGTTAATACTGTATATGATATTAAAAAACGCTATGTGGTATCGCTATAGGGATTGTAGTGTACAATAAATGTATGTATAGCGTGGCGCTCATGTATTTACTGAGTTTTGGCGCTTTTTGTGTATAACCCTTGAGGGCAGGTATTTCTTACTTGCTATAGGAAAGGGGGGTTCAATACATACATACATAAAGTACAGTACAGTGTCGTTATGAAGAGCACTGATTTAATATTATATATTCATTTATTTTTATTTTCTAAAATATAATGTAATTATTCATTCAATTTAATATTTATTATTAGTTAGGGAAAGAAAGTGTAATATTTGTAGTGAAATAAACTTTTTTTTATTTCTTTTTTTTAGTTTAATTATTATTATCTGTATATCATTCGTAAATTGTATGCGAAATCACTACACAGTATATCACGTCATAGAGACATACAGTACAGTACATACATTGACAATACGGGTGCTGAACACTGTGCTGACTATTGCAATATTTGTTAAACACATATTAATGTAAAGGGATTGACTGTAAATTTTTTTTATTATTATATGATTGCAATATTTTTGCAACAAAAACATAGCGTGACTGAAGGATCGTATGATTATTGTGTGTCTGTGCCAGACTGCCAGTGCTGTAATCTGTGAACAACACTATCCGTCCAATACTATTGAATAATTTTTGTAGAAAAACTTTTTTTATGATTATGAATATGAATATGAATTTTAATTAATTGCTTGATATTATGTATATGACAGGTAAATCACATTACAGTACAGTACATATACCGGTATAATCACACCACATATTAGATAATGTATTTATATTTTTATACATTTTATTTCGTGTATTATCTAATCATACAATAATACATTTGAATATACAGTACAATAAATTTGTTGTTACATTAAAAATAGCTCTTTGCAATTAATTTAATCATATATTTATTTCTATTGATTAATTAAATTGTTTGGTAAACAAACAAAATGAATAAATGATATTTTATTTTACTTGTAATCATCAGAGCTTCTGATAGGAAAATTTTATTTCATTAAATAAATTTATATCTATTTCATTAATATAGTAATATAAATGACAAATAAATTTATATGATATGATATAAGTTAGTATATAAAAGATCTAAATATCAACCAATGTGTGTATGTGTTGTAAATATTTTTTTTTATATTGCTGTATAATTTGATACACTATTAGGCCAAACATGAAAATAGGACACATATTTGTATTTCACTTGATTTTTTTGTTTTAATACATTATACACTTGTTTATATTTATCATTAACGCAATAATTGTTATAATTTATAATACTATAATATTATTTACTAAATTATACAGTATTATAAATTTTGTAAATATATTGGATACTTAATATTGTTATTTACAGTACAGTATATAAATAGCAATATCAGATATAAATTAAATATTTATTGATTTATATATATTTATATAAATATATTGTAAAATTGTATGAATAACAAAAAATTGATAAATAAATAAATATAACTTTAAAACATAGTTTTTATTTAATTAATTAAAAAAATAAATATAAAGTCTAATTGAGTCCAGCGTAACAATTATATAAATCAATTTACATAATAATAGTAATAATAAGATACCCTTGGTCACTTCCATGTTATTAAAGCATAATTGTGACATAATTTCCATTTCATATATTATTTTAAATTTCATTACTTTTTTACAGTTCAATGTTATCCATATATATATAATATAAATTTTAAAATTACTTAACAAATTATTTATTAGTTTTGTTATTGTTGTGTAACTATTGATTTTCTATTATATTTTTATAATTTTGTGACAAAATAATAGTTCCTATAAAAATAATGGTATTTATTAGTGATTATAAAATAACATTTTAGTATATACTGTATTTTATGATATATTAATTTTATGGTTTTGGTATCATATTATTAATTTTATTGTATTTTACAGAAACTACTTTAATATAAACAACAATAATTTTGCATAATTAAATTATAATATAATTTTATTTAATCTAATTATAAGATAGCTCGTTTTCTCAATTATCTGTTATTATTAATGGAAATATATTTTTTTAATTTAGTTTTTTTTGTCAACATTAGATTTTTGAATAATTTATTTTCAAATAAAAATTATAATCATTATTGTAATAGTATTACATGTCATTTAAATGAAAACTTATTTGTAAATTCGATACACTATTTAATATTTAATTTATTTTTAAATTACTTTTGTTCTACTTTTGTATTTTGATATACAATTTATATCATAAATATATTAGAAAAAAATGTATAAATCCGGTTAACAAATCTATGACATAAAGCAGATACTATAGTAAAGTGTGTTGTCATTAAAAATAATAATTTATATCATAATATTACAAACGATGATTTAGCACACATTTAGCACACGTTTAATGTACTGTATTTTGTTTCAGTTATATTAATAGGTATTTATATTTCAATAAATTCAGACGCGTTGGCGATTGTGATATAATGCCATTGAATGACATATTTGATGATCAGATCAAACATAAACACAGTGTTAGGATTAAACTGAAACATTAAAAATGATTAATAATATATAATAATAAATAATAATATAAAATTTTACTAACATACAGTACACTAATAATAATTATAATGCTTATTATATAAGTTATGTAAATACAGTACTATTATTATTATTTTGAAGATTACTAATGATATACTATACAAACATTTTGTAATACAGTATTTTATATTCAGTATTGATTAAAAAATTTATTGATTATTAAACTAAGTATATTTTTTTATCAAATTTAATAACCAAATGAATTAATAATATATTTTATTTTAATATACAATTAAATAAAATATATTATTTTCGATTACAAATTTCGATTATAGATTGAAACATTTTTTTCCCAATAAATAATGAAATTTCAAGTTAATATATATTATTACTTATTAATATATTAAATAAAATTATGTAAACCACTGAATAAATTTAATAAAAATTATTTTAATTAAACAGCTATATATATAAATATTATACTTAGTAATTGTAAATAAATGTCCAATTTTCATATTCAACAAGCAATTTACCGTATGATATAATTTTCCATTTAATGTTTACCTTAATTTTATCATAATTTTAATTAACACCTGAATTTTGTTTATCTAATATCTTATTATATAAGTTTTGTCAAAAAGTTTGTCCGCAACAACAACAACAACACTTATAGCTTTCAAATGTATAAAATTGATAAATATTTATATATAGAAAATATCTGATAACATAAAAAAACTTAATTACCGGTTGTGACGTACAAATAGTCTGACGCATAGTATATTACATAGAAATAAAATTAAACAAAGATTTCATAAATATTTAACAATATATTGTATTTAACTTATAATATAAATGAACAACATTTTCATTGATAAAATATTAATAGTAAAACTATTAGACTTTTTAATACAGTAATACTGTATCTATTAATAACTATTTGCAGTATTTGATTCATTAGTATTGTTTTTGACAAAAAAAGTAAAATTACAATAAAATAAAAATGTTTTCATATTTATTCAAATCATCGAAAGATAAATCGAAAAAAGATAAAAACAATGCCCTCTTTTTTGAATATATTGATCATTCAATAACAGAAAACGTATGTATTTTATATTTTTAATTTGTTTATATTTGTTGTATAATTAATTAAATAAATTTATTTTGTTTTTTCACTGAAATCAGGAAATTTCTGAATTGGATGCCTTAAAGTCGGCCCGAAAACAGTCGTTGAGTCCACAGATCATACAAAATCATATGAATGATAGTATTATGCAAACAGTACTGTCAATTGTGAGACAAGGGATCTCCGATGAAGATAATTGTTTTAAATTATGTAAACATATTGTCGACAAACTGAATGAAGAGTTAGGCCATCGATGGCAGTGTCGTATTGACTATAGAAAGGGATCCAATTCCTACTTTGCATATGAACCACAATTTTTAATACAATTTACAATGGGATTCGTGTACTTTGAAATCTATAAAATTCAATTTGTATGTTAGTTATTTATAGAATATATTTTTTATTTATTTATTGATTTTTATTTTTATTTTAATTATATACTGTATATATATATAGTTTGATTGTCAACAATTTATAAATGCATTCAAATGTGGAAAAATAAGTAGCGAACTGAACATAATTGAGACCGATATGAATGATCATATGATAACCGATGTCAAAGAGATCACATTCAATGCGATTGAAAAATCAAATAATTTGTATGACATTTCATATGAGATTAGGACTCAAATGGATAAGCGATATGACAACCATAAGTGGCAGTGTATTGATTGTGCATATTTCGGCTCATTTAGTATTTCCAAACGGGACGGATCTTATATTACATATAAAGTGGCTGATCTGCAAATTACATTGTTTCAAACAATGTGTATTAATAATATGACAAATAATAAATATTAATTTATTGTTTATCATTGTAAATATATTATATTTATAACACAATATATATAATCTATATACAGTATATGGATATAAATATCATATATTTAAAAATTATTAATATTTTATTTATGTTATATATTAATATTATATAATTATTTTGATTATTCCATTTCATCATAATATTTATTTATTTATTTATTTGAACAATTCTGCTGTGATTTTATTTATTTTATTCAATTTATTTTTACTAATAAATTATTTATTGTTTTTTTTATTAAATCACTTGCATATCTTAATTTTACACAATATACCGTTATACAGTCTAAATTTATATTGTTAAGTACCAGTATATAGACTGATGATTAATTATAACATACATGTGCTCATTGAGATCATACATGAATATCAATACAAGAATTTTATTGAAACACAATATTTTTTATGACTTAAGGGTATCTCTTAAGTGAGTTTGAAAAATTTAACTATTATATTATAAAATTGTTATAAATTATTTACATTTACCGGTACATAATAATTTATGAATTACCGATATAAGTTATAAAAGTAATTTTTTTTAAATTTATTATATATTAATAATTTTAATAAATTTATAACTAAAATATTTTATTTAATGAGAATTATAAAATCATTTTCAAAAAAATAAACATAAAAACTTTAATTATTTAGATTTTGTACAATAATAATATTAAGAATATTAAATATAAAATATAAGTTATAAATAATTTTTTATTAAATTTGACAATTACTTCAAATTTTAAAATGATAGAATTCATAATATATAATAACTATATGATTATTTGTCATTTGTAATATAAATAAAATTAATAACTTTATTGAATTATTAGTAAATAATTAAAATAACTTTAAAGTTATAATATAATAATCAGATTTAAGTATCACTTTGTTTGAGACCATAAATAGCTGTGATTGCAGCAAATCTGGGACCCAAATCATACAAAAAGTCCAAATCGTCGTCAGAACTGATATCTGAAGCCAATGAGCTCAATGATCCGCACTGACTACCAGTTCCTTCATAGGCATAACTTCGTAGATCATCGTAAGCGCCGTCATTAGCATACATAAGCTCACTCGATATATCGTAAATAACTGGTTGATCTATAACTGGCTCATCATTGATGATGTCATCCACAAAATCGTCACTAAAGTCATCGCTGCTGTCATCAGGAAAGCCTTCGCCTTCTAATTCTTGATCATCTTTTAGTTGATCCACACTTAAAGGTTTAACAGTCAATGAAGGGTTGTTTTGTGCAACAACAGGAACGGTTGCCCTTTGATACGTATCCTTTACTCTCGGTCTACTGTCACCAACTCTAGATCCACTTATGGTATCGATTGGAGTAATATTATTACCATTGTTATCATATCTCAGCCTATGATTTCTTGAGCTACTGTCAACTTCAAAGTCCGATGGTTTGCGATTTTTGTATCTATATATAAATAAAACCATACATAACATACATAAGTTGATGGCACACATGATTATCATAATAAGTGCAGCACTGGACAGTTGGGGCCCAGAATCCATGATTTGTTAGTAATGATAGCCGGTATACACTTTTTATGACAAACTTATTAATAATTAATTACTTTTTAAAATTCATAGAATATATGATAAAAAATTTATGTGATAATTACGTTATCACATGATTACTGTATAGTTAGTTAAAACTTTTAAAATATTGACCATAAATTGATATTTAAAAATGTAAATAATAATAATGTAGTAAAAAATAAGCAAATATCACATTTACTATTAACGTACATTTTAATACTAACATGAAATGTTACCCCAGTTATTATCAAATATAATAATTGGTATTTCAAGTTGTTTGAATTACAATTTTTATTGACATATTATTAATAAAGCTATACTTACCTGCCTGACAGTTGATTTAACTTTGATAATAACTATTATTTTATTAATATAATACATTTATTTAAAGATTAAATTTTATTTTAATTTAATTATAACTTTAATTCTAAATAATTTAACCTGCTAAACATATTGTATTGGTTAAATTTAAGCAATAACCGCAAATTAATAGTAAATAAATTTAATCATTTTGAAAAAATTATGATATATGATTTGACTTAATTTCACAGCTTAAACGATTAATTGTTTATTTAATGTATATAATAATTATTAAAATATTAGTTATAATCTACTATTATATTTATAAAAATTATTAAGAACTTTAGTAAAATTAATTTTAGACATTTTATTTGACTCTTTTCCATAACTTGATTGCTATATTTCTGGGTCTGATTTCACCGGCTGTAGTATAAAAACTACTACTCCAGCAGCCCTTGACATCATCATCAGCACCGGTACATAAATATGAACTCCACTTTCCAATAGCAAAATCACTGACATTATAGTTATGTTCGACTCGACCCACCTTTGCTTCAGTAATTCTCGGTGCAAACTCTTCTTGAATTTCCCCGAAGACACCCGAACCCGAGCCCTCGGCTCTGAAAAACAAACCAGAGTATTGAGCTGTTATGTCTTCCCATTGAGCTATGGGCCAAAGGTCGGCAGGTGCTGATTGATTACCCAATTGCGTGTATATAAAGCCAATGGGAATGATGTGTATTAGACTTTTTAGTTTAGCAATGTCATTTTGTATTTCTGTAATTATGGATTTTATGTCACCCCTAATGCCACCACTAATCCCAGTAATGCCACTACTGATGCCTCTCACTAATCCAAAAAGTCCGCCTCCACTTTCACCTCCATTTCCTCCCTGAGTTTCACTACCACTATCACGAGTTTCTTCTATCAGCGCATTAGCCGAACCGGTAGTTAGTTTGCTATGAATTTTTCTTTTCTAATAAATTAAGTCATAAAATCAAATATTAATCAATTAATTGTAATACTCTAACCTTTTCACAAATAAAAACTCTTTTGCTATCACACGGCAAGTCATCCCATTTACCAAATGTTACGGCCTTTCCGTCCCAGCGATATGACTCGGCATAGATTTGCACACAAGCAGTGGAATTGCTGCTATTTGGTTCACCCGGTGACCAATTGGTAAATGACAGGTCTGTACCATCTGACCATTGATACGACTGGTCAGTCCGGTTAAGACCAATCCATGCGTTATCCTCAACACCCGACTCTTGGATCACTTTTTCGACAAACTTTTGTTTTTCTGGACTATCGATGACAACCAATTTGGCACTCTTTGTGCGACATAATTGGTCTGCATATGAATATCTGGTCTTATAATAAACAACAGCCATAAACACATCATCTTTGTATTGCAACCACATATCACTACAATCTATTGAAATATTTAATTTATTTTAGCATTTTATAGACTATATCTTATAATCAGTAAGTTTTTATATGTTACCAAAATCGCAATATTGATTATCAACTTTATTATTAATTAAAATAACAAATGAAATTAACAAATTTACTACAATTGACATTTTGTTTTCAAATATAATCTGATAATTATTGTATTATATAATTTTAGACAAAATTAATTAATATTTCTAAAAATTGCAAAATTTCTTTTAAATACAAAATACTGATGTATTTATATTGTTTAAAATTTTTAGTATACATAATTTATATGATAATTTTCCAGTATATAATGATAACTATCAAATTTTACTAAAATTTATGGCAAAATTTTTAATTTTTGAAGGATTACAAGATAATTATCAACAATGAATAATAATTTTTATGTTATTATTAGTAACTTACTAAATGTTTATTTTATTAACTTGATTTATATCAAAACATTTTAATATTATCAAGGTTGAGACAATCTATTAAATTATTGATATTTCAATCTAATTCAATTTAGTCTATTAAGTTTTAATGTTTACATTTGCAATGAAAACGAGTTTTTATATTTAATTGTTATTTATTAATGATTATAAATTAAAATTACAACAATAATTACAACATTGAAAATAAAAATCGTATTAACTTAAAACAATTAATATTTATTAAATAATTTTTTACAAAATATATTATATAGTAAATTACATAATGGATAATATGATATTAATGTTGTATAAAAAAAGTAAAAAGAAAATAATTTCTCAAAATTATTGTAATGTTATTAGTCATAGCACTACATAAATCATAAACAAATATATATAACCCTTAAAATTACATTATTTTTATTATATTGTTTCTACAGATATTATCTGTCAGTAAATATCAAGATCTCTGGTTATCATAAATTATATTTACATTTTCTTATATTATTGATATTATTTATCTGACATTTTAGTTTTTATTTTCTATACACTTATTTTTTACTTTTTTTGTTTGCTAAAAAGTATACAAATAAATAAATATAAGTTACAAAAACAAAATATTTAATACATTGACTATTACTGTATATATTTAACTATAATAGTTAATTATAAATGATATATTAAAAATGCCCGGTTATGATTGCGACCGATTTGTTAATCTGAGTCTAGCCGATAGGGCTGAGCTAACGTGCAGTATATGTCAAGACATTTTTTGCTGTCCGGTTATTGCCCAGTGCTGTCTCCAGACATTTTGCGAAGACTGTATCAACAATTGGCTGTCAACTAACAATACCTGTCCATATGATAGAAAAACGCTTACGAGTGCTACATTGTCACGACCACCCAGGTATGTAGCTTTCAATTAATACTTGTGCTATTATATAAATACATTATAATAACAATTTTGTTGATTTTGTTAGAGTTATGGTCAATATGTTAGGAAAACTTAAAATCAAATGTGATTTCAGAGATAAGGGCTGTAAAGAAGTGATATCATTAGAGGATCTGTCAAATCATGTCATCAAATGTCGATATAATGTACAGAAAGAGATTAAAAAATGCAAGAAATGTTTTTGTGAGATCCAAAAGACTGGACACGACTGTATCAAAGCATTGCTTGAATTGAATCGTAAGGCCAATGGAGAAATTGAAACATTGAAACGTAAACCACAACCATCAGCGGTTCCATTGAGAGCTCCGGCACCACCCGTACCCACAGTAACACCTACTAGACCTACCAGTTTGCTAACAACAAGTAGTGTACTGTCAGCCTCTTTAAGGGAACAGTCTTTGTTAAGAGAAATACGTGAATTAAAGGCCGAAAAGGAGAACTTCTTGAAAACAATTCAAGACTTAACTAACAGTCAAGAATTGACTACAAGAATCAGCGCTCTTCCGGTAATAGATTTTATTTATTTCAAAAAGTTTAAAAGACTACTAATTAAATATTCATATTTATAGCCAATTAACCAAAGAGTGGCCGCAATTACAGTTAACTCACAATCGGTATTACCGGAAGTAATAAGTTTAATAATTTTAAATAATCTAATAAGTTATTAGACATCTATTGTTTTTTTGCAGATGTCTGAACAGGAGATATTCAACGAGTGTCGGAAGCATTTGTGGTCACACGAAGTGATGCAAAATGAGATGAACAAAGAGATGACACAAAAAGTGTTGTCAATTGTTAGGTCGCAAATCAAAGAGTATAACAGTGTGTTTTTGGTTTGCAAAAACATTGTTGAATCACTCAATGATGAGTTTGGCCATCGATGGCATTGCAGTGCCGACTATAAGATGGGTTTAAAAAGTTATTTTATGTTTGAATCGGGTTTTCTTATTAAAGTAAAATTTGGTTTACTATTCTTTGAAATTTATAAGACACAATTTGTTAGTATTATTATTATTATTATTTGTTAAACTATATTGATTGCAAAACTTATAATTAAATTAAAATATTATTTGTTTAATAATTTTTGAAAGCTAAACGTCCAAACAATGAGAAAACGGTTCAAAAATGGTAAAATAAAGCGAGAAATACAAATATTAAAGACAGATATGAAACAGAGTATGATATCGGACGTCAAAAAGATTACATTTGCTGCCATTGAAAAATCAGAAACACTGACAGCACTGTCATCGGAAATCAAGACTCATATGGAGAAGCGATACCCGGAGCGCAAGTGGCAGTGCTTTATGTTTGGCTACTTCGGTGTGTTTGGCATTCACCACACGTGCGGATCATTTATCAGCTTCGATGTCGGACAGCTTACGGTCACCTTATTTCAGGCCAGCAATGATTGATCCAAATTTAAGATTCAAACTATTCATGTAATTTCTATTTTAATATATACCGTAATATATTTATTACAAATAACAACAAAAACAATTTATTATATTATTAATTAGTATTTAATTAGAATTTTTCAAAAAAAAGATTAACAATGTATTAGCATTACAATAATTTGAAAAATAAACTATAACTACAATTACTCATTATAATAATAATTAATAATAATAATAATTTTATAATGATAAGCATTAAGCACAGGTATTAATAACAAATACCTGTACCTCTGGTTATTGCAAAAATCTTGTTAAATGTAATGACCGGCAGCTTTCTTGAGCTGATATCTGACGATAATAAACGGTACGGCAAACGGTATGCTGAAGAATACAAAGAACTTGATGGCCGTCAATCTGGGACTCGTTATATCAAACGGCAGATTCTGTCCCTTATAGGTGGCATCATGTGATCGCCGCACCCATTGTCGCTGCAACGGTAGTACACGGCGTGTGGCCGATAGACCAAGTCGTGAGACCAACATTTTTGAATCAGTATTTTCTGATTTAAGTAATAAAATTGTGTTTTATTTTTAACAATAGATTTTAATGGCGACTGAAAATATCATTTGGTTTCTATAAGTAGTATAACTATAGATACTATCGTTTATTTGTTTAAGAATTGTTTTTTCCTATCTTTCAATATATTGTATATTTTCATAACTGTATGCTAGAAGTGATGCCTATTTGATGGGTAAGCATACAATCATGACTTATAAGTTATAACACATTTATTATTGAGTATATAATTTGTTTGATTTATTGTATAAAATCTACTATTAATAAATTAATAATGTTTATATTGAGTACTCATATAATATAATTATTATAATTTATAATTAACTTAACATTATATTAAACTATCTCTACCTTGCTCATCATATTGTATAAGCAATAATTGTTTAATGTATTAAACATAATTTACAGTATTTTGACACCTCTATCATTATGGCCAATATCTCATAAAAAGGGAGGCCTGAAAAAGTGGGGGTTAAATTACCATCAATATTATATTATATTATAAATAAATTTAAAAATTATTATAAATTACAAACAAATGTTATTTATTTGCTTAACAGTAATAAAACCTGTTTTATATCATGTGACTGATGCACAACTTTTTTGAATATTTTTTTACAAATCAACCATGCTCATCATCTACAGTAGATTCTAAATCATATTTATTTATTTTAGCATATATAATATATAATGTACATAATTTATATCATTTATACTAAATTTGAATCAATTAACTTATCTGTTTGAAATATATTATATATTCCTAGATTTAATATAAATACTAATCAAATATATTTTTTATATAAACATGAAATCTCATATTATATTCAAATTTGCAATATAAGTGTCCATCAAATTATTTAAAGTCATTGATCTATTAGTTATTTGCCAATAAGCCAATCCTATCCGTCCACACAAATGGCAATTCTCAAAATGGTTTAAACCTAATACAGTATTATTAGAGCTTTTAGTTCGTGAAAAAAAATCATTTTTAAACATTACTTCTCTGAATAACATACTCTAAATTATAGACTCTTTGTAGTCGACATTATCTAAATAAATAGTATAGAAGACAATGGCTAACACAGAGCCGGCTTTCGTACAAAAATATTGGTCTAAAGTGTCGGCCGATGAGCTCCGGGAGCCAAATGTTGCAAATGTCGAGTTTGTGTATGACTTGGATGGCAAAGATCCGCGAGTTTGTTGTCTTTACTTAATTCACGATCAATACGAACGATGTTATGTGATATCACAGGAAAAGATGGATAATTCGGACTTTTTTGGTACGACTCATATCAAGGCATTACAACATTATATTCACCGATTTGGATATCTCGGAAGCGGACAAAAATTCAATTATATTATCGGCTTTTATTATGAAGTCGGCGAACATAAACTCAAGTCGTGTGCCAACTATTTCTTTGAGAAGACTAGACATATGTCCCAACAAACAGAACAACTATTCAAGAAAAATATATTCCCAAAGATTGACAAAATGTTTGCCAATACTATCACTCAATGCCAAGGATTGACCAAAAAAAGTAATTTTAAACTCAAATGTAAACGACTTCTTAAAAAGCAATTGTATTGCAAAAGTCATGACCCAAACAAAAATCAATGATATTATGATTTAATATAAATATCAATCATTTTTTACATTTAAATATTAATTTTTTAATGTTTTATACTTTTAAATAATTGTATCGTAATTTTTAACTGAAATTGAATAAAATAAACACATTTTTTACTTGTAAATTGTTTAATTCATTATAAATTTATGTCATACATGTAAATTATAAATTAATATTTGTTTAATATTTAATATTTTAGTAGAAATACAGTAAGATTAAAGTAAAATGATCTTTAAAATAAATTCTATAATAATACAAATATAAATACATACATAAAATTCCCAATTATTATATAATCTTTATATACCGTACTGTATAATAATGTCAGTAATTAAATAAACAATGATTAAAATATAGTTAACAAAAACAATATATAAAATATATATTTTGATTAATAAAATATGTGCACAAATTAAGAAAACAAAAGTCAATTTTATTGTATTTGACATCCGCTCTGGTTTTTGGGGTCCGTTTCGCTGTATTTGATGGGCTTCTCATCCATCGCAGGAATAGGCTCTTCGGGCTTATCTTTCGTCGCTTTTTCTAACTTTTGTCTCTATATTTTTTACGTTAAATAAATAATTACAATCAATTATATTGTTATATAATCCTATTTAATGACTAACCGGATCAATATATGTGACATTTTTAGATAAATCAAAGGCCGCATATGATTGTGGTGTCCAAAGCTCGTGAAGTGATGGCATCGAAAACTCTTCGGGTGTCACCAATCCATGTGTTGCTTTTAGTTCTAATACTGGACACTCTTTAGGCACCTTTTGATGAAAACTGAAGACAGAAACAATAGTTAATAAAAACATATCAATCAAAACAACAAAAAACAATGATTTTCATACATAAATCCATTTTCACGAACACATTTGTCTTTAGTTCGTTTCACTTGTGGCTGTAATTTACGAAAAAACAAATGTTCATCAATTTTAGCTCCCGTTCCTCCCAATGACTTTTGTTTGCGATATTCTTTGCATAGTTTGACAGCTATTTCGTAAAACTTTTCGCTCTCTTCCAGTGCACGAATAGCTTCTCCACATTTTTCCTGTTCTAATAGACTTTCACCTAAATAGCAAAAGGCCTAAAATAGTAGAAAATAAAAAAATTAGGATAAAATTACAATCAAATAACTTTGAAACATACGTATGACTCGTAAAATGATGATTTCAATTGAAAATATGCCATCCATTTGGACACTTTTGTCTGATCCAATGCTTTGATAGCACTGGCAGCCGCCAGAAATAGTTTTGATGTCTCGTTTGCCAACGCAGAGATCAACGTCGGACTGTGTTTCAGTTCTATAGCGCGGGCTATAGTAACCTCCTGTGCTTCCGCCTGACACTGTTGTATGTATGCGCTGAGCACCCGGGGATCCAAATCACTACCGGCGCTAAAACTTTTCTCAAGTAATCGATCGCACCTTTAGTTTAATAAATTAAATATTATATATGAATAATAATAAACAAATATCGTGTTAAATACCATTCATTTTGAATGGCCGTCAGAATGCCGGCCGCTTTACGCAAACACGAGTGACACTCTTTGGCCGTTTCCATCGTAATGTCCGATTTGGCGGCTAATTGTGCGCAATGTTTGGTCAGCCATAGGGAGTACTTGTAACAAATGGAGATTAACTCAAACACTGTGTCCTGTCTGACACACGGAGTGGCACCTAATCAATGCAAATATGATAACAACAATCATTGAATGGTCAGCGAGAGAGTACTGACCCAACAGAGTGTCCGTCCACTTGAACTTAATATAATGTCTTAGTTTGGAGCTATCAGTCGGTCCGTGGTTCGGGTCAAAGCTATTATTGAACACAAAGCCCAACAGTAGCGACAAATAAAGTCGCAATTGTTTGTCCACCACATCGGCATCACTGGACGGATCGGTCATCAGTTCCAACACCTGTTGGCGGTATGTCTTCAAGCGATCGCACAGTTGGATAGCTTGCGGTTGGGCCGCGACTAAGGACAGGGCAAATGACTGAACTGTTGTGTTCTTCAATGCGTTTCGATGGAACCAATGAGACATTCTTGTAGTGATGTCTTGTAGTCGATGACAACAATGATAATAATGACCATTCAATTAGTCATACAATTATTGATTGCAAACTCAATGAGTAATTGTGTTGTCATTGAATTCACAGTTGTTTTGAGTGTTGAGTCAATTGTTGACATCAATTGTATTGTTATTCATAAATAGCGTCACTTTTAGCCATATTTTAGTACATTATGTAGTATTGTATGCATTGGTTGTGAAAATATCACAGAATATTCTGGCGATTGTTTGCATTGTTACTATAATTTACATTAAATGTTTGTTTTAATCATATTATTATTGTTATTATTATTTAAAGTAATGCATAAATATTTAAAACTTTTTTTTTTATTAACTTGTTATGCATAAAAATTTATATATTAATATCATTATTAAAGTTTTAGTTAAGGTATATTAAATTATAGTAATAATAATAACCATAATTATTGCATAATATACATTAACAAAATCAATATTAAAATATTTATTATAAAATGTATTTGTATTAATTTAGATAATAATAGAAATAATTATTTTTATTTATGTAATATCGATATATGAATATTTATAATTTATAATTTTTTTGTTTTGCTTTTGTTTAAAAAACAATTTAACATAAAACAAGTATCTGTACATATTTTATAGATTTATTGCTGTATTTTATTATCAATATAATTTATAATGTATAAATTATGTTGCTAAAATAAATATTTATTTAAGACAGAACTCTATTATACTGTTAATAAAAATAAATTTAATCGTTATTATTATTATTATTAAACAATTATGCAATATTATCATTAAAAAATAATGACATAAATTGTAGAAATTTTACCAAAATGTTAAAGCTTTTAATCAATAATTCTAATTAAAAAAATTATTGTTTTTTTAGTTAAATAACAACAGTGACAACAAACAAATTAGTTTTATTTAATAGACATTTTAAACATAAATTACTATAAGTACTTTAAATTTTATTAAAATTGTTATTTAGTTATTGTGTAAATTTCTATTAATTATAATTCAAAACCGGGAACTTATAGTTAAGTGTTTGGTAATTATTACAGCCATTTATCGGTGATAATCGTTAATTGAATTGTCAGATCATATATAAGTAAATTTTTAAAAATTGTAAAATTTAAATTGCTTTTATATTGCAAATTACAGTACAGTATATGATTATTGAAAAAATAAGTTATTTTACAGTTTATTTATTGAACAACCAATAAATTCAATTATTATATTTCTATCAATAACAGATAATTTTAAAGTAAAATCAGTATATTTTATAAAAATAAATGATATATTTTTATAGTAATAATAATATTTATAAATTATGTATTATTTGTTATTGGTTTACACTTTTAAATTTTGTTTTTTATTAAAACAAATAATGAGTAAATTTATTTTTATTAATGATATATATAATAATATTAATATTATATTGATTATTTTTTTGACTATTATTTTTTATAAAATGTTGCTGAATTTGTACTGTAGTTTGATATAACTTTCATTGTATATTATAAGCAATAAAAAATATTATCATAAAATAATAACCTTTTTTATTATTATATTTATACTATCATAAATTCATTAAATAATATTTACCAATTTTATCATAGAAAGATATTCATAATTAAATTTATTATTATTGTTGTTATTTTATTATCATTGTTGAGATCAATACACAAGAGTTTGCATCAAATAATATACATATTTTATAAGCTATTAAACATTAGGTTGTTTTCTGCAGTATTTATTATTATTATTATGTGAATAAATATGATAATATTGAACTATTATATAAATTGAATATGTCACGCTGTATAATTTTATATAAATATATTATTAATAAAAATAAAACAAACTTAACTTTTATTTATATTTATTAAAATAAACAATTTTATGTAAAATTTCCAAGCTGATAAGTTCCAGTTATTTGCTAAATTGTTACTCTATTTTTTATATTTGTTTTTGTGCTTAAATTTAACATTTAATAACAAAAATAATAAGTCTTTTATTTATAATATTTTGTACCGATATTTGTTGTGACCTTTCACTGAATGTCTCTTACCTTTTATATCAAAGTCTGATTTAGTTTTTTAGTCATAAAAAACAAAATTATATCAAATGAGAAAACAAATGCTACGATAGCTTTGTATTAAATGCCATTAAAAGCACTTCAATGATGAAGACATAAAACTTATCGATTGTTACACACATTTAGACAGAATATTCTGAAACATTGAAACAATTTTGCTGTTATAGTCGTTATACACATTTGACATATTGTTTTATAACAACAAAAAAACCCTCTGAAAAACTAAATGATTGTATGAGACTCATAAAAATAAGATTGTTTGTTAATAATATGTATATAAAAATATACGATAATGTGTTTAAATTAAAATTTTCAAATTATTATTTGTTGTTGTTTTTAGTGCAAAATATTTTTGCTTATTATTCTTATTTGTAAAAAAACTTTATTTTATTTTGATATTAAGTAAATATACAATACTTTATATTTTAAAAATACTGTAAAAAAGATGTTTTGAAATACTCTATCAATTGATCGATTTTGTAGCACAAATACATTATTATTTAATTTATATTAATATAATAGTTATAATACTGATAAATAAAATAAAATATTTATTTTACACTTATTATATTATACTTATAACTTATTGTAAATTAACATAATAGTGAAATAATATCTTTAAAATTTAATAAATGCTTTGAATATAGCTAAACATAAATATCAATATCAAAAAGCATAAACATAAAATATTACTAAAATAACTTGCCTAAAAACTTATGCTAATATAATATTATACAATATTTTCAAAAATAAAAAATTTCAAAAATGTAGAACAATTTTATCACTACAATATATTTTAGCTATATTTATACTGTAGTGAATAATTTAACATAATATTTAAAACCAATATCATGTATTTACTATATATCACTTTGTTGTCAATCAGCACAACATTAAAGTCAATATGATGATCCCTGTGCTCATATCATAAGTGAAATTATTATTATAAAAGTTTGCAGAAGTGCTGCCTAATGAGGCACAGGTAGTGTAGTGTTGGCTTATTGATGGCTATTGTCTTAGCATTGGTTCAGTTATATTGTTGTCATGTGAACCACACTCTATTGACTTGCAATTCATTGCAATAATTTAATAGCTTTTCGGTCTCTTTTCGTTACTCGAGAGCATCACATCTCTCACATACTTTCTCTCTCTCTTTCTCTCTCTCTTCTCTCTCTCTCTCTCTCTCTCTCTTTCTCTCTTTCTCTCTCTCTCTCTCTCTCTCGCAGTGTCTGAGTATATTTGTCTCTTTTTCTTGTGTTTACTGTATGTATGACTGAGAGAGAGGCGTAGATATAGAGAGACAGCCATAAGGAAAGCAAATAAAAACTAAAATCATTTAATTAATATACTGGAAAAAAATAATAAAATATATGCTAACAGATCAACTATGTGTTTGTATGTGAATAATTGTATATCAATTTAAATAAATTAAATAACTATTCTGTTAAACGACTAATATATTCATCTTATTATTGTTATATAATAGGCATTTAATTTAATAAATAAAGTAAAAGTTTTTGCTTTTATTATGTGTGCGCATAAAAGATATACACTTTTGTTTGAAACTATATATGAATTAAAGTATTTTTGAAGAAAATATCATTTTGTGTTTTAGTTTCATAAACTACGATAGAGTACAGAATATAACTAATAAATATATATAATTATAGATTACATATTGCGTGCAATATTGGTTTTGAATTGTTTTTATGGTTGAAAACCAGTTATTGGTTTTATTAGCAATTGTTATATGTATAGTAAATGTGACAATAAAAGTGATAATAATATATTTTTAAAAGTATAAGATTGGCAACAAATCATTTATATTTTACATAAAGTATATATTTTTAAGTATGCATCTAAATGTGTTACTTTTACTATACTTGTTAATTATTTGTTTTTCTATTTAGAAAAATAATTGCTATTTTAAGCAACCTATAGTAATATCAATTTGTTAATCAACAGTAATAATAATAATAATAATAATAATATAATACTGTAATAATAATAGCTTATATATAATTTATAGCATGAGTTTCAAAAGTAGTTTATTAATATTTATTGGTGTTTCCTATGTATTGTTAACATTTATTTGATGTTTATAATAACAAATGGTGCTCTGGGTTGCATTATAAAAGGTTAGTTTATTAAAAAATTATTATTTTTAAATTATAAAAAGATGATAAATATGAAAACAGCAAATAATTATTTATTTTTAAGTTTACTTATTATTATTTTAGTGCAATTGTTATAATTACATTTATTATTATTGTTTTCATCAAAACAATTGTATATTACAATACATTATGTAATAGTTATTACATTTGATATTTAAATATAATTAAAGTTTAATAATTAATAATTAAATATTATCATTGAATACAATTTAATGTATTTTTAATAAATCTATAATCAACTAACAAGTTAAGAAATAAAGTTGTTTTCAACAAAATAATTATTTAAGATATGTACAAACAATTAATAATAGAGTATCATTACTAAATATATATAAAATAAGTTATATATAAAATAGTAATAACAAAAAAAATTGATTAAAAATGTAATGGATATATAGATTGCATTATTTGTTTTAATAACTTTAAGTCAAAAGACTGACATCAAGAGTGTGAGTGCGAGAGTCATATCATTAATATTATTACATTTTTTATTAGATATAAAAATTATTGATATCATATAATGTAAAGATATCATAAAGTTATAAACATTTTTATTATTTATAGATTTCGTTATACAGTATGTCAATTATTAATAAAGTTTTTTTGGCTTTTATAATGTCTATTTTGTATGATATGTGACACTTTACTTGTGGAAAAAAACATTTTTTTAAATATAATTTTTGGTAAAACTAGTAATAATTTTAATTGGGTACCATTAATAATGTTTGTTTGTTTTTTATTTTGTATTTATAAATTGTATTTTTTTTAGATATACTATAGCTATACTATATTAATTAGAAAGCTGTAATATTAGCTTTATAAAATTATATAAACAAACGCAATTTAACATTTATTATTAAGTTTTA